AAATTAAACAAAAAATAAAGAATTAAAATGGGCTTGGGCAAGCGATTTGTTCTCATTGAATAAAACCTGGGATTAACATTCCGATTGTTTGATTGTAAATATGAGGATTAACTGGGATATTCTATTGTGTCTAGCACATACGCAATTAATCCCAATCGAGGTTTCGCAGTTATCTGTTCTGTAAAGAGAAGCAACTCGCGTTACAGTTGTGGTATTGGGATATACTAGTGTTATATTTGTGGTGTTGTGATAGAAGTGTTATAGTTGTGGTGTTGTGATATAGCGTCTCATGGTTGTGGTGTTATGATGGACTCTTGACATCGCCGTAACACCACCCCTGAACCAACACAAGATTTCTTAGTCGTATAATAACCAGTACCCTCACAAACACCCTCACAACACCACTCTGACAGAATCACCATTCCACCCACCCACACCTCTTCAATTTTTCATCCACTAACTTCCCATCCACAAACCATCCATGTATAATTGTCACCCCATCCACCGAGCACCATCCATATACACCATATACACCATATACACCATATACACCATATACACCATATACACCATATACACTATATACACCATATACACCATATACACCATATACACCATATACACCATATACACCATATACACCATATACTCCATATACACCATATACACCATATACACCATATACACCATATACACCATATGCACCATATACACCATATACACCATATACACCATATACACCATATACTCCATATACTCCATATACTCCATATACACCATAATATGCACCATATGCACCATATACACCATATACACCATATGCACCATATGCACCATATACACCATATACACCATATGCACCATATACACCATATACACCATATACACCATATACACCATATACACCATATACACCATATACTCCATATACTCCATATACACCATATACACCATATACACCATATACACCATATACACCATATACACCATATACACCACACACAACCCACCACTTTTCGTCACCCCAAAACCACCCAACACCCATCTAATTAACTTCCCCATTTCTACCCCCATCCCCACCCCACCAATCAATACCTTTTTACCTATATCCTCAAGGTCTTCCCATACATTCCATGTCAACAAAAAAACCTCTTAACCCTGACCACGTGACCGGCTCCAGGTACCCCACTGGCGACCTGTCAATCAATAGTGTCACCTTACACATCTCCACTGACCATCAGCCTAGCATGCACTTTGTTTTCAACCGGTCACCAGAACGGTTGTCCCTGGTAACCAGCCATACCTGACCTAAATAGAGGTCAGCTAACTTTTACAAACGTAAGCACCAATTAATCAAAGCCAGTAAACCGGTTTATTAAATATTTTTTTCCCTCTTGAGCTTTGGCGCCGCCCAGTTACCCCCCCCCCCTATAATCTCCCCCTCCCCCCGCCCCCATCAATACAAAGATCCCCGACTCTATAAAAGACCGCGGGGGACAGTAGTGCCATCAGGCAAGTGGCTTCCCCCACGGCATCCAGTCACCTGGACACACCTGGACACATCTCCACACACCAACGGTTCTAACAGTGACCGCTTCACCAGCATCCAGGTAAGATTTTAGCACACACGTAAACATTTTGACCAGGCATAGCAATTCTAAATGACCTCGATGTTAACAGGAACACAGTCGATTGTCAAACAACTAGCATTCGTATTAGACAATGTGTTGAGTCAGATTTTGTGTAGTCTTCTGTACAAAAGGAATTGAAATATCTGGTAAATATAGAAACGGGTTTTAAAATCTAAAAAAAAATCCGTAAAATTATGTTTCCGATTATAAGAAAATAATTTAGAAAATTTAGAAATGCATGATGAATATATTTCGAAATATAGGCCTATAGCATCATAAAAATGTATTTAGTATAACTAATGAATGAAGTGCGATATGTACGTGTTTGAGAGTTTGATACACCTATATCTGTAGGGGTAGGTGATGTCGCCTATTTTTCTAAAGAGTATGTATAACAAAAACTTTGATCGATTAAAAAAGATTTCGCTTCGATAAATAATTAAAAAGTTAAAAGATTAATAATTAAAATTAAAATCAAGTTTCCAAGTCGATCCCGTTCGCTGAGATGTGTGATCACGCCACTGTCCCCTTGATCCAAAAGTTTAAGACCGCTAGCTACACGCCACTGTCCCCTTGATCCAAAAGTTTAGGACCGCTAGCTTCACGTCACTGTCCCCTTGATCCAAAAGTTTAGGACCGCTAGCTACACGCCACTGTCCCCTTGATCCAAAAGTTTAGGACCGCTAGCTACACGCCACTGTCCCCTTGATCCAAAAGTTTAGGACCGCTAGCTACACGCCACTGTCCCCCATTGAGCCATATGTTTAGGACCGTTGGTTTCACGCCACTGTCCCCTTGATCCAAAAGTTTAGGACCGCTAGCTACACGCCACTGTCCCCTTGATCCAAAAGTTTAGGACCGCTAGCTACACGCCACTGTCCCCCATTGAGCCATATGTTTAGGACCGTTGGTTTCACGCCACTGTCCCCCATGATCCAAATGCCGAGGACCGCTGGTGTCCCCATGATCCAAATGTTGAGGACCGCTGGTGTCCCCATTGAGCCAAATGTTGAGGACCGCTGGTGTCCCCATGATCCAAATGTTGAGGACCGCTGGTGTCCCCATGATCCAAATGTTGAGGACCGCTGGTGTCCCCATGATCCAAATGTTGAGGACCGCTGGTGTCCCCATGAGCCAAATGTTGAGGACCGCTGGTGTCCCCATGATCCAAATGTTGAGGACCGCTGATGTCTCCATGATCCAAATGTTGAGGACCGCTGGTGTCCCCATGATCCAAATGTTGAGGACCGCTGGTGTCCCCATTGAGCCAAATGTTGAGGACCGCTGATGTCTCCATGATCCAAATGTTGAGGACCGCTGGTGTCCCCATGATCCAAATGTTGAGGACCGCTGGTGTCCCCATGATCCAAATGTTGAGGACCGCTGGTGTCCCCATTGAGCCAAATGTTGAGGACCGCTGATGTCTCCATGATCCAAATGTTGAGGACCGCTGGTGTCCCCATGATCCAAATGTTGAGGACCGCTGATGTCCCCATGATCCAGATGTTGAGGAGCGCTGGTGTCCCACACCGTGGAAACATGTGACCACAGCTGTCAATATTTGCACCACCACTAAGTAGATGTGGACGGTGGGACAGGTAGAGAGCCTGGGCTTAATTGGTTACCTGTGCTGGTTCACGCTGACCTGCTTTTCTCACATGGATCTTAACACATGTGGTCAGCTGGTTTGATATCACAAACGTGAGTTCTAGTTTGATATATCATTAACGTGAGTTCTAGTTTTATATATCATTAACGTGAGTTCTAGTTTGATATATCATTAACGTGAGTTCTAGTTTTATATATCATTAACGTGAGTTCTAGTTTTATATATCATTAACGTGAGTTCTAGTTTTATATATCATTAACGAGAGTTCTAGTTTGATATATCACTAACGTGAGTTTGGAACTTTGTGATGTTTTGTTTGTTTACATCTTGACATGATAAGCTACTATTAAGCGTAAAGTATTTCCATAACGACATATCAAACCAACTATGATTTTATTTTTTAGACGTTTTTTTTAATCTATAAATAATGTGTTTTAAAAGATAACGTAGCACTTGTTAATTTATTCTAAAATTAATTTTGTACAGGCTATTCAATTTTTTGGACTTCCCTCTACTTCTTTTTTTACAAAATCAAAACAAAACGAAAGTAAATTTACCAGATAAAAGAGATTGCTGATTATTATAATTAACTGTGTGTATGTGAATATTTTCGATTTATCTAAAGGAAAAATATTTTTAAAATCGCCGATAGTGGCCGACAGATTAGGGTTGAACTACCGGTTACGTCCATCCAATTGTAATTTTAAAAACACATACTATGTTTTGATAACGAAACAATTGGTCTAATTGACATGATGTCTATCCATTTCATCGAAATTTAAATACTTTTATGAAATCTCAAATTATGTTTAGCTAAAATAAATGTATCTAAACAACCCTTTTGATTTACATTTCCATAGAATTCAATAAATAACAAAAAACTCAAACTACGTTCAGTAGCGAAACAAAATTGCGTGTGATGAATAGAACAGAAAAAAAAATGATTAAGTACTATAAATAGGAGCAACCAGTATCTATAATTCGTGTTTTATAGCTTGCATTGTCCCCTTATTATTGAATAGGAGAGAAGATACGGCTGGAATGTTGGTAAACAGAAGGGATGGATTAGGTCACTAGTCTCAGCTTAGCCGTGTTTAATCAACGCGCTAATTCCTTAATCCCGTGTTGGTGTTTACTGTGTAGGTGTGTGCCGTTTACCGGTGTGTGTGTGTGTGTGTGTGTGTAGATGTGTACTTGTGCCGGTGTACTGTGTTGGTGTGTAGGTGCCTAATGTGACATGGAATGTGTGTACTTGTACCAGTTTACTGTAAAGGTGTGTAAATATTTTAGTGTGCTGTGTATGTGTGTACTTGTACAAGTGTGATGTGTAATTGTGTACATGTAGCAGTATACTGTGGAGGTGTGTACAATGTTCTAGTGTGCTGTGTTGGTGTGTACTTTGTACTAGTGTGGTGTGCAGTTGTGTACATGTACCCGTTTACTGTGTATGCGTGCACTTGCACTAGTGTGCTGTGTATACAGATGTGTCGTGTAGGTGTGTATAGGTGTGCATTGTATGTGATTACTTTGTACCGGTGGTACAAAGTGTTTTCCTGTGTTGTGTGTTGGTGTGTAACGTATGCTGTGCCAGTGTGACAGATCATCTAAACACCACTCGTGCTAATCAATAGGTTTAAATCGAAGCCAATCGATGGGAACTAAATGTGGGCCGAGGAAGAGAATGTGGGACCACGGGATGCTAGATCTCACGAGCGGGCCCACAGTTGACGTGTGGTCAATGAAGCGTGTCGAAGGTCCTCTAACGCGCTGATTGTGTGCTTGGTTATGGCTAACTTTAGCCCGTGATCTGGATTAGTGTAATCCACTGTTTAATCCATCCAGCGTTTCGGATTAGCATAATCTACAGATACTTTAAAATCAGCGCAAATGATCCTGATGTGTTCTTGTCGTGGATGTAGGCTATTTGTGAATTCACCGTGAAATGTGTTACCACAGTATTTCTAGTCATATTCGCTTAAAGATGTAAGTTGTCATTCTAAATGTATATTATTAATTAAAGGTATTTACCACATACATACTTGGAACCTATACGACACACGATGTCCCTATAGAACCTAGACAAAAAGAAACTTTACACGCGACTTAAGATAACATTCTTGAGACCGGCCTGGGTCACAAAATGTTGGGCTCGTACGCCCCCCCCCCTCCCACTTCCCTAAACTTTCTATTATTCACTGATTAACAAAGGCATAGCCCAGACTAGTTTACACATAAATAACTCGTTCCTCGAATAGAATGTCCATAAATTTTAATATATAAATAACTGTCGCCTCCCCAGGATTAGACTTGTTCCATTGTTTGGTTTTTTTTTTACTTTCTCGCATATGAAGTATAGAGGAAGTATTGTAATCCAGCAAAACATCGAAATCGAGATTTTTACAAATCTCGACGTTTTACACCTACCTGAGTCGGAAAAGCATAGTTTTGCTATTTTGTCCGTATCTCTCTCTGTGTGTGTATGTGTGTATGTGTATGTATGTCTGTATGTCTTTAAACACGATAACTTGAGTACCATTACAGCTAGGTTGATGAATATATATATATATATATATATATATATATATATATATATATATATATATATATATATATATATATATATATGTGTGTGTGTGTGTGTGGTTGTGTGTCTCTATAAACACCATGTATTAATTAATTTATCTTTCCTATTCCCATCATATGTACAGCATTGAATACATGTTATTCTCTATCGATTGAGATAGCTATCTCCGACACGCACATAAAGTAATTTATGCAAATTTATTCGTCGCTTACTCGTGGTTTTTATTTTACCGACACACACTGCAACCTGTGTGTAAATACTAAGTGGTTTTATTATGGAATGGGGCGTCATCGACTATCTGGTTATGTGCCTTGTCTAAATGGCTTCCGATAAAACAACTCCCTTTCAAAACGACCGAAATGACGCTCGCTTGTTAGTGTGTTGTGCTCCTAAGGGCATTGAGAGATAATGATAATGACGATGATAATGACGATGATCAAAATGATCACCTCTATCTAAATAACCTTGACAAAACTGCTCTCTCGAAACGTCATTTTCAAAAAGATACCCCATCAACATGACCCCGTTTAAAGTTTCTATAATAAAATTGGCTTCTATAAAATACCAAGGCCCAAAAGAAATAACTATTTTGAATCGAAAAAAAAGACGGGCAGGTTCAAAAGCCGGCAGTCAAGTTTATCGCATTATTTCATTAGAAGGTTTTCCGCAGTTTCTCATAGTAACCTCCCGTGTGTTCAAAATAGAACTAAACAAATAATTACAATCGATACTGTTTAACACAACTTTCTTTTATCGATTCTAGTTCCAGGCTCGTTATGTTTTGTTCAGGTATCGATATGTCCTGACCTTGATCTGGACTAGGAAGCAGGTCAAAATCTGTAAAAATCTGACAGTTAATTAATATGACTAATCACTTCAATGACTCACGATCATGTGAGCAAAAAGATTGTATATTTAATGACAATGTGAAGAAATGATTGTGTGAGATGGATTGTGCGGTGAAAGGAGTGTGTGACAAAATGATTTGGTGTCGAAATAATTGTGTAACAAAGTGATTGTGTAAAAAAGAATGTGTGACGATTAGAGTATCCGGCGAAATGATTGTGTGATAGAAAGATTGTATAACGAAATAATTTTGTGACGAAAGTGTTGCGTGACGAAGGGAATGTGTTGACAAACGACAGAATTGATTCACATCATCTTTAAAATAATCAATTATCTTCATTAACTTCATTTGCGTATTCGCAAAGTTCGAATTATTAAATAGTTGTAACCAATTTTTATTAAAATCACATTGTTCATCTAATTGCGATAATAAAGAAACCTTTCGATAACAAAAACATTTATGCTTTACTTTCGTATTCAAGTTTTTTTTTTAACATTCTGATCATACTATATTGAAATTCTATATAAAATCATTGTATAAAATCTTTTAAAACTATTGCTTGTCTAATTTTTCAGCCAGTAAAACGTAATAAAGCTTTCACGAAAATTCACATACAATCTGTTCTACAATGTTTCAAGTATGACACACATTATATTTTCAAAAACAAATATATGAGTTTACTATGTCAGTAGAACTATATTTCCCCACATTTGAACTTACGGCCATGAAAAAAATAAAACAAAAACTTGCCAGATCAAGTTGACAATAATGTAGCCTGAAAGTTCTATAAATTAAAAATATGTTTTCTTGCGGTTAAATTTATATTCGTGAAAAAAACAGCAACTTGGCAGGTCCCATTTAAAAACATAAAGCTATAACAGCTGTATTAAATGAAAAGATGAATGAAATTCTAGTAATCTTTGTAGGATAGTTTATATTTTACCTTTTGTTTATTAAATAGGTACAGTATCGTAAAATTAACGTTGTCTAATAGCATCTTGGTCTAGCAAGTCATCTGAAAATTTGGTCCAACTCTGACCAAAGGGAGGTGGGGCGGAATACCAAGTTGATTTCTTTTTAAAGGAATCGATTGCCGTTCTTAATGAGACATTGCTCACAGAATAGTCCATAAATGAGTCCATTCATCCGATAAGTCTGTTAGGCAACGCACTAGGCAGGCGATCGCTTTAAGCTTTTGATCGCCTGGAAACTCTACTTCACCTGTTATGTTTGTGCTTTGGCCAAGATGTAACTTATGGAAAAAGTAGTACCTAGCGCGTCTGTGACTAAACCGTGTACGGACTACTAGATTGATGAACCAGTCATTCTTCAAAAAGTCATTTTTCAAAAAGTCATTCTATAAAGACTTTCAAGTGTTCAATTAAGTCTTTCTTCAAACATGTCATTTTTCTAACAAGTCATCCCTCAAACAAGTCATTCTTTAAGTCACTAATGACCGGTTTACAGAATGCCGGAGTTAAAAAATTCCACACTAATTACATCTTACACCGTGTAACCACCAATAAACTTTTGTCTGTGTTTTAAAGTCACGCATTAATGGGACCCCGATGTTAGTCACAGTTGGTGGAATCTTTGGTCTATATACGTCCTTTCACCGGGTGGCTTGGTAAATCATGCGTGACCACAGGAGTGGTGAGAAACACAGCACCAGTTATATGAGGTGGTCTGTAGCAGGGGCAGGTCACTTGGTCTATAGCAGGGACAGGTCACTTGGTCTATAGCAAGTGTAGGTCAGCTAACTTTGTCTATAACAGGTCAGCTGAATTGGTCTCTGGCACCGACTAGAAAACTTGACTAAAACCCGGCAAAATTTAGAAAAATTGACCTATTACTGGAAAAGTTAAGAAAACCTGACCTATAACCGAAAATCTTTAGAAAACTTGAATATAATCGGCAATGTTTGAAAAATCTGACCTATACCCGGCAATATGAAATAGACTTAACCCATAACCGGCAATGTTGAAATAGACTTGACCTATATCGAGTCCATTAAATGCCACCTGTATGTACCTGTCCCCTGCAAGCACCTAGAGAGCCCCACCTTTCTTCCAGTCCTCCAGATTTGAGCATGCCTGTATGGCGGTGGTCCTCCAGACTTGCCTTTATAGCGACGTTAGAAAACACACGCATAGCGTGGCGCTGGCTGTGAAAGGTCTATAGCAGTACACACGTTTTGAGTCTTTGAAGAAAAGAAACTTTGAAAATCGTGACAAGTGATCTATTCACCTGTGGCGTAATCAATACACACGTGCAATAACTACTTGCTACTTTATTATAATTCCGGAAATCGTGTTGCATTTTAAATGAAACTTTGTAATAATAACCATGTACGTGTGACGATTTTTTGTATAGGCCCTATATTTTAAATGCTTAAACACAAACTCTGACTCTGCCCCGTATATATATATATATATATATATATATATATATATATATATATATATATATACATAGATACATTTGAGTGTTAACGTTTCATTTTTGAGCATCTGTCGAGAAAGTGGATACACATTTCATGTTTGAGCATCAGTCGAGAAAGTGAATACACATTTGATGTTTGACCATCTGTCGAGAAAGTGGATACACATTTCATGTTTGACCATCTGTTGTATTTGTTCCTGCTCCCCTCTATCTTTACCTACCACATCCTGCCTGGTTGTTAAGTCTTATTCAAATAGGATAGAAGGTGTGAATCAATACAATAGCCAGCCGTGGCAAGATGCTCGACACGCTTGCACATTCGTGTGTTAGGATGTGTGTTTGTAAGGAGGAGGGTGGTTGGATAAACATGCACGTTAAATATGTAAATAAAAACATTATAGTGTAGATATAATTATCTAAAGAATTTTTAAAAAAAACATATGGAAATAGAGAAAAAAAAAGGTGTTGAATTATGTAAAGAAGAAATACGATTGATTTCGAAATAGTGTTTATCATGGGATTTTCACATTCGTGGGGCAGATGAAGTAGAGTTCATTTGTTACAATGACCTCGGCATACAAGAGTATAATGTGGTCAGCACTAATTATTGTTTTTAAAATATTGATGTTTAAACGTTGAAACTTAAGGTGGAAAGCAAAGATTAAGCCCACTTCTCTTTAGTTATAGACCCTAGATAATCCAAGACCAAAATGTAGTATATAAAATAAGGAATTATGACCGTTCATTTGTTACAATATATTTTGTCAAAGATAGCGTGTCTGGATGTATTTTCTTGAAATATTTCTTGAATTTGTGAAATTTTGTCAGAGATTTTTGTATTCCGTTATATAGTCCTTCAGATATTTCTTTTTTTAAAAGATATTTTTAAAGATATATAGGCCTATTGACATAGACTTGTATGTGCTTTTAAATATTTTCAAAATGTGGATTGGATATGGAAGGAGGGGGGGGGGGATAGGAATGTTTCATTGAAGACAAGAAGTTTCCATTTACTCCTATTATAGTTTCGCCATTAAAGTAACGAGAGCTCGCATGATTACGTTTCGTAAAATTTATTACAGCTCTTGGTTTGGTTGATTTAGCGTCATTTTCCCTCTAAAGATCAGTCACTAAACGAGTCTTTGACTAGAGTCAACTGGTCATTTTATTTTAAAAAAGGGGAGGGAAGTAAAACTTGGGTTACTAAAAAAAATGTTTTCAAAAATTTTCTCAGAAAAGAAAACTATTCTTTTTCATGAAAGTTTCAGTCTTTTAAAAAACCTATAAAATCTATAATATCTATCTATATACATTTACTACCAAACAAATCAATCTGTAAACAGCAATTCATACTAAAAAAAAAACGTTTTAACGAATTTTAGAAAACCTATCGCCCTCGCTTGTTTTAAGTAAATTTGTTGTAACGATACGTTTACCTTTTAAAGGCACGATAAATACCAGAACACATGAACTTAATTCAGGTAAGAAAACAAAATAAACATCCATATATATTAAAATACGTTTTTAGATCTATATGAGTAACGCGAGTGATCTCATTGTTTATTTTTAGGCTAAGTAGGTCACGAACCAACAGTGAAAGGATTTCCTAGGCCTCTTATTTTTATAATAGTCACGTGGGTTTTTAAAATCCGCCAGTGGATCCATATAAATATAAATCACAACTAGCTTACGGAATTATCACTGCCTCTGAAAACTAACGGATATATTTACATTTTTCAGTTGGGAGTTAAAGTTTTTTATAAGTTTTCATAAAGTTTTAATAACAAGCTGTCTTAACATGTAGGTGAAATAATTACATTTATTAAACAGTGTTTGAAGTTTGTAGGCCTATATTATAAGACTTTGATAAACTTAATAATATTAATTTACTTGTTACATTTCTTTCAATAGAACAAAATAAACTTAAACGTAAATTTTGACAAATCTGTATAATATAGACTATTTATTTATATAGTTCATATATATAGGCTATATATATTATATATATATATATATATATATATATATATATATATATATATATATATAAAATGTATAATATATCTGTATATATATATATGTATATAGGCCTATATGTATATGTATATAATGTATAATATATCTGTATATATATATGTATATAGGCCTATATGTATATGTATATAATGTATAATATATCTGTATATATATATGTATATAGGCCTATATGTATATGTATATAATGTATAATATATATGTATATATATGTACATATGCCTATTGTATATATATATATATATATATATATATATATATATATATATATATATATATATATATATATATATATATATATATTGTATCCATCTATATTAGTAGATAAAGACGCAACACTACTTATACTATTAAATTAATCAGAAACACAACCGGTATAGCAACAAAATAATAATAATAAAACATTATTAAGCGATGAAGGAAAATGGAAAATACAATTTTTTTCTTTACATTTTTTTTTATACAAAAATCAACTAGATAGTCTATTCTATGAAGTGAACGAGAGGGTGTGGAAATATTCTTGTATTGTTATCGGAAAGCGTTTGATTATCTAGAATATAGTTTTAATAGAATTGGGCTGGATTTGAATTCACACCATTTGAAAACCATCGTAGTGAACACACTCCAAACCTCGCAAGTTTTGTACGATGGTGTGTGGTGATAACGTCATGTACATAACAAAATACCCGAGTACACACGCGGTTGGTGGGCGTGTCAACCCCGTCACGCATCAGTGATTTTTAGACTTGACCGGCTAACACACGGCCCCTTGTGTACCATTTTAGTTTAGAAAATCACCGGCTGGTGCATTATGGGTAACAAAAAACCTTCGGTGTAGATTAAATTTCTGTTCTTTGTGCTAGCGCTTTAAAAAAAAAAAAAAATTAACATCCGTCTGTTATTTCCTCCCGTATAGGTAGGTAATGAATTCCTTCCGCTGGAGGGTAGGTTGTGTAACTGGCAAGCAATGAAGCGTGACTGTCGTATATAGGCCAGTGACATTTGGTGTCTGGTGGATTCCCCCCCCCCCCTGCAGGGGAGTTAATTCAAGTTAATTCAGACAGAGTTACTGGGATTACAAGCTAGGGGTTAATAAACCATTTTCTATCACTAGAGGGTTAACATAACATTTTCTATCCAACAACTCGGTTTAGTTTTCATTTAATATTTATGTGAATAATAATTATACTTTGATAATAATGTGTCTACATTTTTGTTTAAGATGGGTGACCCCCTACTTGACCTCGAAAGTTGACGCCCCTGACGATTGAACTCTATCTTAGACACGTGAATAACAAAGTGTTTATTTCTTTTATTTGCAGAAGTAAAGCGAACCAAACTGCAATGAAAATTTTCCTCTGTTCATGGCATCGGAAAGGGAGATAACAATCTTTACATATCAGACAAGGACCAGAACTCTCTTTGTTGTGAACAATTTTTTTATTCGATCAAGAGAAGTAACCCAACTGTGTAATAATGTCTTTAGTGCATAGACAGTTTTACAGATTTTGGATCAGTTTGATTCTAGCGAGCATCGTTCACGTGAAGACGACGTCATGCATGAATGGTGAGTACTATGTGTCTTGTTTTGTTTACAGTTGGATCAAATCTCAGTTGTTAGATATAAACTTGTTGTTGTCTTCGTATTGCGACATTCGAACGTTGGAAGTGGAGATCGGATACCATGAGATTAGTGAATAATCTTTGCTTGATTCAGTCCTCTGGACGTCGTTGAGCCCACTCAGTTAAAATGGGTACCTGACCCACGGTGGGCATCGAGCTGACCACACTAACCCATTTATATGCCGCGGTCACGGGAACATGTGAACTCTACTTCACCCGCCCTAATGAGCGTGAAGTGCGAAATGGTATCTTTGTTATTTACAAAGTGATCTACCAAAATTAGGAGTCTGCCGTTTATAGTCGTTCAAGATTGAGTTGCATGTAAGGCCCATAGGACTCTGTCCTAGTAGGACAACAGGACTATGTCCTAGTAGGACGGTAGGACTATGTCCTAGTAGGACGGTAGGACTATGTCCTAGTAGGACTATGTCCTAGTAGGACGGTAGGACTATGTCCTAGTAGGACTATGTCGTAGTAGGACGGTAGGACTATGTCCTAGTAGGACGGCAGGACTATGTCCTAGTAGGACCAGATGTATTTTCTTATAGGACCACAGTTCTATGTCATATAGAACGGTAGGTCTATGTCATAGTAGGAAAATAGGACTATGTCCTAGTAGGACAACATGACTATGTCCTAGTAGGACGAGAAACATGTCTTAGTAGGACTACAGGTCTATGTCCTATAGGACGGCAGGTCTCTACCTTGTAGGACAACATGACTATGTCCTAGTAGGATCACAGTTCTATGTCCCAGTAGGACGAGAAACATGTCCTAGTAGGACGGCAGGACTATGTCCTAGTGGGACGGCAGGTCTCTACCTAGTGGGACCACAGGTCTAAGTCTTAGTTTGGACTTCAAACCTATGTCCTAGTAGAAAGGATAGGCTAATTTCCTTGTAGGAGGACATGCTGTGAGCAGGGTTCGAGTTCGGCGCAGGTCCAGTGTTATGGTCAAGCTTTAGGTCATTTTCAGGTTCATGGTTAGTGTTAGGTCGTGGGTCATGTTAACGGTATTGCCATTTTTCTTCGATACAGCATTGTCAAACCTACAAACACACTTGTAGCAATTACATTTTAGCATACTTGCAAATACTCTTTTGATGGAATCTATCAAGATATTTGGTGTACAACCTATGCAAATACCACATTAGACATGTCTTGAGTAATTTATTTTTATACTGCGGTATGCATTGGGAACACACCCAAAAAAAGTTTTAACTCCAGGAAAAAAGACGACTTAAATAAACCGGTAGTGATCTCCCCTAAACTTTCTCGAATATTCTTATATAAAACAACAGGGGATGGTAACTGGGGATATAGTTATGATTTTTAATCCATTTTAAATACTTAAACTTTTAAAAATAGAATAGAATCTCATAAAAAAAACATTGCGCACCAAGCAAACGCCGAATAAAAACGCGTATAATAGTGCGAAATATTATTAGTACTTTAAAAATTTACATTAGTCTTTGAGAAATCGGAAGTAGCGTAAATTACTACTTCCAGTCAACGGAAATTACTCAAAATTTAACAGAAGGTAAAGAATTAGATCTTTTACTTACATGTGAAATTTCATTTATCTATCTGAAATAGTACTCAAGTTATAGGCTTTTGAAAAATTCAAAGTAGGAAAAGTACCACTTCCGGTTATCGGAAATCGCTCAAAAGTTGATACGGATCTACGATTTTGATAAAATACTTATATATGAAATTTCATCAACCTAGCTGTAACGGTACTCAAGTTATCGTGTTTACACACGGACAGACACACACACAGACACACACACACACAGACATACGGACAAGATTGCAAAATTATGTTTTTCCGTATCAGTGAGGTGTAAAACGTCGAGATTTGTAAAAATCTCGATTTTTTTTTTTTTTGCACGATTACAATACTTTCTCTATACTACGTATATACGAGAAAGTAAAAAAGGAATTAAGCTACAAAATCCCAAAGAGACTTAGAATTAAAATACCAAAGAACAAAACATAGGTTCATTACACACGTATTTTTTAAATAAAGGTCTATTTAGATTTGAAACAAAGAAACTGGTAGGCCTGCTTAAAATTTAACCCCTCTTTGTAGTGTAAGTGCGATTAAACTTAACCCCATCTGTTTACTGAGCGCATTTTTATAAGGATCTTATAGGTACTACTGATCTTCTTCTGCGTGTATTTATATAACACGTTAAATAAACATAGACTCTTGGTTCAAGGGTATTTTGTACCATTCACTTTAAATATTTACATCGACCGCAGCCATAGATGCATTTAAAAAAATATTTTTGTGGATATTTGACTCGCTGCGCTATAAACGCGAAACATTTTATTTGAAGTTTTTGATTAGAAAAACAAAACACTGAATGAATTTTCTTCCTGCGATGTTATTTATTGACATTTTGACTTAGTTGTTTCTTACTCGAGAGACACAAGAAGTTCCATTTAGATCCTGAATAAATTAGACAAGTTATTTTTAAGTGCTGCAAATAGCATTTTTAGTGCTATGTTACTGCTATGTGTTATTGAATTGTTTTATTTGTTTAAACGGCCAATGTGAAAAAAGGCCTTTGTACCTACAATTGTAACCGTTGTTTGAATAAATTTGAAATTTGTAAGAAAATTTTGTATCTAAAAAAAATTACATAAAAATGGCAAAAAATATAATAATAAAGGAGCACAGACTAATGCCCTAATATCGAAAGATACATAAGTACAAAACAAAACAACAAATACTCAACAATTAGAAATCCCCCAGAGAAAATGCCCGAAGAAATGACGTTAAATAACCTCCTTCCCCCTTCGTCTCTTGTTTAGCCCACGTGAAGGTCAGCCACAACTCGACCAACCACCCGCTGCCAGATTTCGTCAACGTCACCGTGACAACCGACGCCAACACGTCCACGACCTTCCACCTGCGGCGCGTCAAACACATCAACTGCAGCATCCCCATCTACACCATTAGCACGGACTCCAGCGGTCAGCTGGTCAGTAGGAAGGAGCATCTAGGGAACAGACAGGTAAGAACATCAACCATTATACATACATTCTTGCTAACTCAACCATTACACATACATTCTTGCTAACTCAACCATTACATATACATCCTTTCTGACTCAACCATTACACATACATCCTTTCTGAACACCTACATAGCTGAGCACAATTTGTTTATACCCATTTATTATTGGTCAAAATAAGCTCACAATTAACTCAAAATAAGGCTTCTTTTAATATCACTCCTCCCATACTACAATATTATAAAATTAAGTTGTTCATAAATACATTTTTTATATCAAGACTCAGAAATCCAATGTACTTTCCCCTTACTTTTTTTTTGAGATATCAAGTTTAGTGAAAGGATATATTTACAATTCGAAACACAAAAGAACAGATCCCAACTTAACAAAAACTTCTGTGCACGTACTGTTAGACACCTACACTTACCGGCTGTCTTGATCCTAACGCTTAATCTAAGCTTTAGCTCAGGAATATGATTGGCTAGCCTTGTGCTTTTGGGCTACACGGATAAGCCCTTAACTTTAACGTTAATCCACGGCTTTAGAAAGTTGGCCTTTTATTAAATTTAAATCCCCAGAAGTTGTAGTCGATACCGTTGATGTTAACCATTAACGACTTTTGTATAGGAGGGAGGGGCAAATTGAGCATAAAGACTTCCAAAACCTTTGTAGACCAACTTTTATCAGCTCTTTAAAGTAAAACATAAAGATTCCTCTTTAGACCTAACGATCCATTGGGCAGATGAAGAAGATTTAATGTTTCTTCCAGGCATCTCTTCCCTCCCGAAGAAAGTCCACCGCCCCCCCGAGTGAAATGAAATTTATATAGAAAATATATACTTTTAACAGTGTCCGCCCCCCCCCCCCCGTAGAAAGTCTACCGCCCCCCCCCCCCCGAAAATTTCAAGTGCCCTCCTCCCCCCGGAGAAAAAAGTCTGGAAGAAACACTGACCTCAGCATCAGCAGGGATAATGTAGTCAGCACTATGCCTAGCCGCAAATACTTTCCCTAATGTGAGTTAGGTACCCATCAGAGCTGGGTTTGCAGTTTACCGCTCTACCTCTAGGTCACTCCATCCCATATCAGCTCTATACTACTTATGAAAAGACAATCATACTATCGTGTTGTAATTTAAAAAAAATGTATAGTAATAGTATTGATTTAAATTTTAAAGTACTAATGATGTATAATTTGGTAAACATAGCACTGTTGATAAACACATCTAAACAAAACCTTGAAATCATCATTATTGTTATCAACATTGTAATCATTATTATTATCTTTTATTTATATTTAAATGGTTTTTTTTATAACCTACAGCACATAGGCTACTACCAGGACTTAGCCAACGAAGCTGTCATACAAATAACAAGAACGAACAGCCTAACAGAGGAGACAGCCAATCTGACACTGGTAAAAACACATTTGATATGGGCGTACAATGTAGTGTCTATTTCTCTGGTCGTACAGTCTTACCGCTAAAAATGTTTTACCCAGTTATGATATGTCTCTCCCATATATAAGTGACTGTAGTTATTTCCCTTATTATGAAATAATGTTGCATATTATTAACCTATCGCATAACTCCGCTCTTATTCGACGTCCTGTTCTTAATTTCGGAGCTCCTATTATATAGAGAAAAAAAATATGACCCAACTGAATGATCTTCTAAATTAAAACCACATTTAAAATTTTAGAATAGAATTGTTAAATTCCTTCTCTAGAGATACTGATTTGCATACTTTAAATCAAAACACTCCTGTATACAAGCCTGCATTTCCAACTATAAAATGTAACAAGGTCTAGTAAACCTAATCGTACAATCAATTTGAAAACGGTAATCTACTTGATCGAAAATATTTGTTTAAAGTTTAGATGTTGATGATTATAGATCCGCAACAAATATTTGGATCGCGGCCAAATATTTAAATGCTAATTTAAACAAAATATTAAAAAAACTAATCAAAACACAATCTGTCAAGATAATTTATTGCTAGGTGTTTGGGGGTTGTTTCCCTTCCTTGTTGGTAAACAAATGACGAGGGTGTGAACGTTTAAACGACAAATAGACATGTGTGGCCGCAGGGGTTGTTTTTCTAAGGGAGGTCATTCTGTCAACCACGGATAAGATGGGCGATAAGCTACGTGATTAAAACAAGAGAAGTCGCTTACTTGTTGAATCTTATGATCTGAATATTTATTTGATTTATACTGATTAAGTATTACCAATTTAAAAAAAAAAATATAATATATCAATAAACAATTAAAGCATTTGTATTTTAGTGTCCCCTGTTGCGTCCGGGTTAGGTTCAACTCAGGAAACGATTCGTGGTTATCTTCAATACTTTTATTTAGACTCAGTTCTTCATATAACAGAGTAGCCCTCGCCCTAACCACTACCAACTAACCCCTTACAACCATTCCCTCCAAATTTTATACCGCATTCGACCTTGGGATAACAATACATAAACACACCGGGGTAAAAATACTCTAGGCTAAACTCAACTCACACACGCACTCGCCCCTATTTCTAGATTATTCTAACCTATTTCTATCTAACCTACAACTGACCCGTAACACCCCCCCCCCACCCATCCCACTACTTTTTAAAAACCGACACAGCAGTTAAAGTTACCAATACATTTTGAAAACCTTTTGCTATTTATAATTGTGCCCATCAAAGAGAACTGGACAGCGCGGTCTTTTAGTAGAGCACACAATAATAACCAGAACGGTTGAAAATTTATTTTTTCATTCGTAGGACGCCGCGGAGCTCATTCAGCTCATAAAAGGTACCCAGCACTAGCAGCGGAGAGTAAAGATCTCTACCGAGCTCATTAAAAAAAATACGTAAACTCTACTTCCTTTGCACAGAGTCCCGTCTGAAAGTGCAAATTGTCTTATAATTTTTTTTCCCAGGAGGGAGAGGTCCGTATACAGACCACAAAGTACACCATCAAACAGGAGGAGAGGGTGAGGCGTGACGTCACAGCCACGTCATCGCAGGGTGAACTGTACACGCTGGTCCCACAGCCCACCCCGGCTGTCTTCAATGACTATGTGGTCCCACGTAAGTACAGCGGCTGTTGGGCTGTCTCGGCTGTTGTGGTAGGGTGGGTGTGGTGGCATGGTGGTGTGGTGGGGTGGTTGTGGTGTGGAGGGGTGGTTGTGGTGTGGTGGGGTGGTTGTGGTGTGGTGGGGTGGTTGTGGAAATGTTGCGGTGGTTGTGGATGGTGTGGCGGGGTGGTTGTGTGGTGAGTGTGGTGGCACGGTGGTGTGGTAGGGTGGTTGTGGTAGTGTGGTAGGGTGGTTGTGGTGGTGTGGTAGGGTGGTTGTGGTGTGGTAGGGTGGTTGTGGTAGTGTGGTAGGGTGGTTGTGGTGTGGTGGGGTGGTTGTGGTATGGTAGGGTGGTTGTGGTGGTGTGGTAGGGTGGTTGTGGTGTGGAGGGGTGGTTGTGGAAATGTTGCGGTGGTTGTGGATGGTGTGGTGGGGTGGTTGTCTAAATGTTGCGGTGGTTGTGGTGAGGTAGTTGTGGTGGTGTGGTAGGGTGGTTGTGGTGTGGTAGGGTGGTTGTGGAAATGTTGCGGTGGTTGTGGATGGTGTGGTGAGGTGGTTGTGGTGGTGTGGTAGGGTGGTTGTGGTGTGGTGTGGTGGGGTGGTTGTGGAAGTGTTGCGGTGGTTGTGGTGGGGTAGTTGTGGTGGTGTGGTAGGGCGGTTGTGGTGTGGTGGGGTGGTTGTGGAAATGTTGCGGTGGTTGTGGTGGGGTAGTTGTGGTGGTGTGGTAGGGCGGTTGTGGTGTGGTGGGGTGGTTGTGGAAATGTTGCGGTGGTTGTGGATGGTGTGGTGGGGTGGTTGTGGTGTGGTGGGGTGGTTGTGGTGTGGTGGTTGTGGAAATGTTGCGGTGGTTGTGGTGGGGTAGTTGTGGATGGTGTGGTGGGGTGGTTGTGGTGGTATGGTAGGGTGGTTGTGGTGTGGTGGGGTGGTTGTGGAAATGTTGCGGTGGTTGTGGTGGGGTAGTTGTGGTGGTGTGGTAGGGTGGTTGTGGTGTGGTAGGGTGGTTGTGGTGTGGTGGGGTGGTTGTGGAAATGTTGCGGTGGCTGTGGATGGTGTGGTGGGGTGGTTGTGGTGGTGTGGTAGGGTGGTTGTGATGTGGTGGGGTGGTTGTCTAAATGTTGCGGTGGTTGTGGTGGGGTAGTTGTGGTGGTATGGTAGGGTGGTTGTGGTGTGGTGTGGTGGTTGTGGTGTGGTGGGTTGGTTGTGGAAATGTTGCGGTGGCTGTGGATGGTGTGGTGGGGTGGTTGTGGTGGTGTGGTAGGGTGGTTGTGGTGTGGTGGGGTGGTTGTGGAAATGTTGCGGTGGTTGTGGATGGTGTGGCGTGGTGGAGGTGGTTGTGTGGTATGGTGGTGGGGTGGTGGTGTGTTAGGTCGGCAGAGCAAGCTCTAACAATAGCTACAGGTTCAAATGAAACTCTTAGCAGCTCTTGCATGACTGAGCCAACCCAGCATAATTCAGTACCTAACATTAATATGTAGGCTACTATTGAGTAAACCTAGCTAAATTGAATGGCTTAAGTTTGATACAACTAAGCCAACCTAGCTGAAGCTAGTACCTGACATTAATAGATAGGACGCTATTGAGTCAACTCAGCTCTTTTGCGTACCTAACCCTGTGAAAGTTTCGACAAAAATAACTAACTGATCTTTAATTAATGTATCCTGTATTATAGGTTTACAAATCTGTTTCTGGATTTCTTTTTCAAAGGTCTTTTTTTGTTTATTAAAAAAACGTCTTTGCTAAATAATTTGGCACATACAATGTCTATATTAATACATTCTGTGCCGAGATTTGAAAATGTAATCACATTCTCCACAGCTCCTGAGATAAAAATATTACTGACCAAGAAAGAAACGCCAATTGAGGTTCCAAGTCAGATTCGCTTCATGCCAATAGTAGCCGAGTCCACCACATCAGACCCACTACCACCATTATCTACATCATCAGCATCATCATCCCCGTCATCATCTCCTTTGATACGTCGTCGGCGTCAAACTGTTCCAACCTACAGTATTGATGTCACAGCGTGTATCGATTACGGTGCTTACCGACGATTCTTGACCAGCGCCAACAACAATAAGCTAGAGGCCTTGAAGACACTTCAACAGTATTATGCTTTTGTGTTCAGTGGGGTAAGTCAGGGTGGGGGTGTTTGGGTAAAGGGGGTGTGGGGTGGGTGGGGTAATATTGGGGTAAGATGGGTGGGGAATGGTGTAAGTGGGGTGGAGAATGGGGTAAGATGGGTGAGAAATGAAGACAGTTGATTGTGGAATGGGGTAAGGTGGTTGGGAAATGTGGGGTGGGGAATATGGTAAGGTGGTTGGGGATTCTGATAAGTGGGGTGGGGGATGGGGTAAGTAGGGTGAGGAATGGGGTAAGGTGGGTGGGGAATGGGGTATGATGAGTTGGTGTGAGGGAGGATAAAGGAACTATGGCGATGTTAGCGCTTTTACTAGACCACACTTTTGGAGTAAATTATCATTGGGTGGTCGAGCAGAGTTTCTTTCAGGCATCTCTTCCGGGGGGAGGGGGGGGGAGGAGGTGGGCACCAAAGCACGTCTACCGTGTCCGCCACTTCCCCTTCTCCCCCGAAAAGCTTAGTCCCCCCTCCCAGAAAGTTTCAAGCCCCCTTCCCCGAAAGTTTCAAGCCCCCCCCCCCGCCCTCCCCGAAGAAAAAAGCCTGAAGGAAACACAGTGATCGAGCGATAGAGCCTAAGGCTGTAGCCAACAGAAATAAAACAGTCAACAGATTTTTATTGCCTAGTTTAGTAAGGAAGTTATTGGCTATTAAACTACTTCGCAACGTGCTGCTGTTTACAAAGTCAACATCAAATTACATGTCATAAATGTTTTATAGCGTTTACCTTTAGATACCTGTTTATTTCTATGTGAATTTAGTATTTAATATGAGTGGCGCTGCTAGGGTGGTGCAGGGAAAGGGGGTGGGGTACCAGCCCGGGCGTTACTATTTTAATATGTATCTGGTTTGTGTAGAGATACAGCTGTTGGCATTTTGTATTGACGTGAAAGTGTAACAACTGGTTGTTCTGAAGTGAAAGTTGATCTTCTTTATGGGTTGATTTGTAATGAAAGTTGATCTTACCTTTTTATGAACAAATTAATTTATACTAAAAGTTGATCTTAACTTGTTTATCAACTAATTGATTTGTAGTAAAAGTTGATCCTACTTGTTTATCAACTAATTGATTAATACTAAAAGTTGATCCTACTTGTTTATCAACAAATTGATTAATACTAAAAGTTAATCTTAACTTGTTTATAAACAAATTGATTAATACTAAAAGTTAATCTTAACTTGTTTATCAACAAATTGATTAATACTAAAAGTTAATCTTAACTTGTTTATCAACAAACTGATTAATACTAAAAGTTAATCTTAACTTGTTTATCAACAAACTGATTAATACTAAAAGTTAATCTTAACTTGTTTATCAACAAACTGATTAATACTAAAAGTTAATCTTAACTTGTTTATCAACAAACTGATTAATACTAAAAGTTAATCTTAACTTATCAACAGGTTGACCTACGCTACCAAGGCATCACATCAGCCAGCTACAGACTACGTGTCAGACTGAACAAGATTCTTATAACTGAGGTAACTCTTTTTTTAAAAATAAAATCTTAAAATAACATTGATCCGATTATCTGTGGATGTTTCATACCATTGTCCAACAATGGACTCTTCCTTTAACAAGTCTGTTAAGCTGTCAGGTGGTGTAATACCGGTTTAGAGGGTTTGGTTAATAGCTAGGGTTCAACTTTGGTTAAGGTTTGGGTAAAACATACTGTTAGTGTTGAAATGTGTAAGGTAAGTAACTGGTAAATAAAGTTCCTCTTTAGATCTAGCCATCTTTGGGCAGATGAAGTACAGTTCATATGTTTCTTGACCTCTGCATATGAAGGAATGGTGTGGCCCAGCCGCCTTTATTTTCACCAACGTATGTCAGGTACCCATCAGAGGTAGGTGGATTCAGGGACATCTTACAATCACAAGTCCAAACCGCGACCCGAACTCAACACCTTTGGGCTAGTAGTCAAACACTCTGCAATTCAACCACACCGTCCCATTTAAGTTACTGGTAAACTTTAATAAAATATACCTTGCTAATGTCAACACTTACCTTTACCCTAATCCAAGTCCTGACATAAATCTAGACCTAATTTCTAACCCAACTTTAAACCTGAAATCGCAATACACAAAACTACTAAAAACCTAACCCACCCATCTATTACAAGATTCCACTAACGTAGTTAACAAACACACATCTAACAACTTTCTCGTGGTCCACAGACCGCCGCGGCCTCCAGCTTCACCGAGACTTTCCGTGTGGCCAAGGTACCGTGGGACCAGGTGGACGCCAACAAGGTCCTGGCCGCCTTCAGCGAGTTCGTCCTGGGCAAGAGCGGGATTGTCGTCACGCCATACGACCACGCCATACTCTTCACGGGGTAAGTCAGGGGGGGGTAGTTGGTAGCTGGAGGGTGTATGGGGACAAGGGTTTCTTTCAGATATTTTACTTTGATGGGATCGGAAGTTTCCGGGGATGGGGGTGGGGGGGGGGGGGGATCATAAGAATGTAAAGTTCCGCTTTCAGACCTGATAGTCCGTATGGCAGATGAAGTAGAGTTATTGTGTTTCTTGACCTCGTTATATGAAGGGATGGTGTGGTCAGCACTATGACCAGACGAAGTTATAAGAATGGACAGTGTAGACCTTCTATTGAAATATATGCATTTTTTAAAATAAAAAATCTGAGGGAAAGGATGGGGGGGGGAGGTCTGAAAGAAACACCTATGGGGTACAATCTTGAATGACATTAGACGATTCGGATGGTTTTTAAAACCCGTTGTTTCCCTTTTCGTTGAATATGGCATCACAAAACTCCCCATATTGGAATTTAAAGATTAGATTAGTAATCAACTTCTAGCGTATATGGCCAGTTCCCTCCCCTGTATGGCATCAGCTAGGGAGCACGTCCTATGTACATTAACTTGATACCATCTCTTACCATATAAAAATCCGACTGAGCATTTTAAAACGTCTATTGCAGCTATGACTTGTATTCTACGACATCAACAGGCATCGCTGCCACAACAACAGGTAAACTTCCACCAGCTGACCTCCAAATTTTGGTCAAATTAAGTGTATATATATATGTGATATATAATTATATATGTGATATATAATTATATATGTGATATATAATTATATATGTGATATATAATTATATATGTGATATATAATTATATATGTGATATATATATATATATATAATATATATATATATATATATATATATATATATATATATATATATATATATATATATATATATATATATATATATATATCCCATTCTTCTACTTCGTCCCAGACAATAGTTTATTACAATGGTAAAATTATAAATAAATCTAGAAGATGACTAACATTGTTTCGGTTAAATTTTACAAGAGGTTGTTATATCGGTCAAAGATTAGTCTTAAAGTTAAAAAAAAACAACAACAACCAATTAACTAATCAACCATGGGTCTGGTATTTCAAACGATGAATGACACACCCTTCTTCCCACCCCAGGGATGGCGTACACGTCCACCATGTGTCGCACGGACGGCAAGAGCGTGTCCATCGTGGAGGACCTGGGAGGGCTCCAGTGTATCGACACGGCCGCCCACGAACTGGGCCACGGGTAAGTTCTGCTCACCCCCCCCCCCCCCCCAGCAATGTTTGTATTCATCTCCAGGAGTATTGATTTGATCGGTGTCTGAGAATAGACTCTTCCAAATATAGGTGTGTTGGATCCTATTATTGTGACATTTCCCGATTACAAATTCCCCATGACACGAGTTAGGATTTGGGTGTTGAACAGACTTAATTTTGACAGTTTACTACCAGTATCCAACCCCACGCCCACAGACTTTCAAAATAAGATTCCACTATTTTAATGATATAAATGTACTGTTATGGACATCCACCCAATTTTGCTACGGCCTAGACACACACACCAGCGTACTACTAAACAACAACAAATATACAAAAGTCATTATTTAACGTTACCAACATCTGTTTCACCTTGACCTTCGTATCCTTCATTCTCCCCCCCCCCCCCCCCGATGCAGGTTGGGAGCAAAGCATGACGGGGACGGTAACGCCTGCAGCTCAGCGGACCGTTACATCATGTCGTCCACATCGAGTCTGGCGTCAGACAGCAACAAGTACCACCCCTGGCAGTTCTCTGCCTGCAGCATCCAAGCTTTCACAGAGACCATCAACAACCTCATCGACTCGCGGTGAGTTTACACACCCCACACTACACACTACACACCACACACCGCACACCACTACACACCACCACAACACAAACTACACACTATCCCAACATGACACCATCTCTATTCCATGTCAAGCGCCTAACACCATGTATCCCCAACACACCATTTATATGCTAACCCCACCATCCATCCCCCTCAACACGACACCATCTCTATTCCAGGTCAAGCGCCTAACACCATTTATACACTAACCCCACCATCTATCCCCCATCAACAGGACACCATCTCTATCTCAGGTCGAGCGCCTAACACCATGTATCCACATCACACCATTTATCCCCTAACCCCACCATCTATCCCCCATCACACCATGTATCCCCATCACATAATTTATCCCCTAACCCCACCATCTATCCCCCATCACACCATGTATCCCCATCACACCATCTATCCCCCTATCCCAACAGGTCGAGCGCCTGTCTGACCGACGCCCTGCCCATCAGCGCGGACCTCCCAGACGTCAGCAACTTGTTCCCTGGTCAGCTCTACACGCCGGACCAACAGTGCCAGATGATCTACGGGAACAATTCGCGCTATTGCAGGGTCAGTGCTCACTTCCGGTTCTAGCGGTATTACTCAACGGAAACGGACTTGCAATGGTTCTTTTTAGAAACAAGCGTGGGTCGCCGTGGTCGAGTCGATAAAGCTCATGGTTGCTAAACCGAAATGTCTTGAGTTCGAACCCTCGGGCAGATGAGGCTCGTTAGCTGGGGACAGCCACTCTTCTAGGAGAGACAACTCCTAAATCAAACAACTGCTGCCTTGTAGTTTGTTCTTGGTTGTGCAAAGGCTATGGAAAAAGGAAAAGCAGGCTAAAATTGGAGTCAATGGTCTCAATGATCAATGGCGCATAACCAGTTGACACGTATCCTTAATTGTGTTAGAGGGGATCCCTTCCAATACATGAGATTTCTTATTAGTAGTTAATTTAAAGGGGTCGTCCATCAACAACGTCACGGCTCAGGGGTGTCGGACTTTTCTGACAAAGTGTCATGCTGTCATGGTGGAGGGTGAGGGTTCAGAAAGTGTGACGACACACTCGTGCATTTTTAAAAGAACCTCTGTAAATATTTTTTAAAATAATCGCTGTTTAAAAAAAAGCTTACAATTTTGAGGGGTAGTAGGCTGAGGTGTGACGTCATTTTATAATAGATGGGGGAGGGGGTAGGTCTGGTTTATAGTTATCATGAATGAAGATGTGTTGGAAGAAGCAGGCATAATATTTTTAAAGCGTGACATCGTGTATGGATTACCCTATAGTTAATTTCAATCTGATAAAGATAAACAAGGGGAAAAAACCTATAGTTTTGTACAAAATTTGTTGTAAAAAACCCAGAAAGTTAAATATTCTACACATAACATTTCCGATCACTAACTTTTAGTTTTAAACAAAGAGAATATTTAAATTGTTTTCGGATTTTGTTTTTAGTCTTTGTATTTCTTTGACTTTAGATTTATTAATTGGCTCTAATGTAAATAGAAAAACAGAAGTTGAAGCATGTACTAAATTTCTAGATACAAGAAAGTTGAGCATTTACCTTATTGAAGTTTTCTTGGGTGTGTGATACTTTCTACTCTCTCGAATACACATTGTACAGCATTCGAGATTTTTACAACTCTCGGCGTTTTACACTTACCTGAGTCGGAAATAATTAATTTTGCAATCTTGTCCGTTTGACTGTGTGTGTAGTGTGTGTGTGTGTGTGTACGCGTGTCTGATAAAAATAACAAGGGGAAAAACCTACAGTTTTGAACACAATTTGTAGTCAAAAACCCAGCAGATTAAATATTCTACACATAAAACTGCCCATCACTAACTTTTAGTATTAAACAAAAAGAATATTTAAATAATTTTTGGATTTTGTTTTAGTCGTTGTATTTCGTTAACTTTACATTTATTAATTGGCTCTAGCGTAAAGAGAAAAAAAAAAACAAGTTGAATTATGTACTAAATTTCTAGAGACAAGAAAGTCAAGGAACAACTCTCTCAGGATGACGGTTGGCTTCATTTATGGAAAAACTTTTCGTGGTAGTCGTAACTTTGTAGAACTAAAAGAGTGACACATTATATCCATGACAAGTACACCTGTATGAACTAATACGCACATTGAAGCGTCCCTTTACATATCACCACGCACCACGTCTGCATAGCTTTATTGAAAAGCTGGATTCTTTTTATCTGTATATATATATATATATATATATATATATATATATATATATATATATATATATATATATATATATATATATATATATATATATATATATATATACATATATATATACATATATATATATATATACATACACACACACACACAAACACACACACACATATATATATATATATATATATATATATATATATATATATATATATATATATATATATATATATATATATATATATATATGGGGTGAGTATATTTGGAGACCCTAAGACTGACGTGTTTTATTTCCAACTTCTCCAGGGCGAGAATTTCGGCACGGCATCGGACATCTGCAGCGTCATGTACTGCTACAACCCACTGACGGACAACACCTGCTACTCCATGACCTCAGCCCAGGGCACCACCTGCGGGAATGGCATGGTGAGGGCACGGCTACAGCTTAACCCAGGGGGGGGGGCTAAATACGTAGTGTTAAAGAGTAAATAAAACAGAGGACGGCTTGGCCTTGCGGTAGAGAGCTAGACTGTTAACTCGAGAGTCTCGAGTTCGAATCCGGGTTCAAATCAGTGGAACGTGCCTGAGTCCACCCAGCTCTGATGGGTACCTAACTTACGTTAGGGAAACAAAGGCGGCTGGGCATAGTGCTGAACACATTATCCTATCATATGCCGAGGTCAATGAATCAGATGAACTATACATCTACCCCATGTGTCTTGGGCACGAACGGGATTAAAAGAAGAGAACAGTAAAAAAATAACAACAAAAAACAGTGGGTTTAAACATCACACACCTTTGAAGCCTCTTGACCTCATCTCAGTAGAGTATGATTACAAATTACAAAACATACACTTGCTGGTTTTCTTTAAATTTCTGCTTAGTGTAGAATGTAACGCAGTCTTTTTCATTTCTTTTTTTCTCTCTGTATATATATATATATATATATATATATATATATATATATATATATATATATATATATATATATATATATATATATATATATATATATATATATATATATATATATATATATATATATATATATATACATATATATATATATATATATATATATATATATATATATATATATATATATATATATATAGTAAGGATTGACTATTATGATAGGTTAACCGTTAAAGTTTTGCTTGAGTTAGGTCTATTGTTAATGGTGGTCAGTATTCCTTGTTGTGAGCGATACAATCTTGTACAAACGTGTGCCCAGACACTGTACTTTATAGACCCATATATCTTTTAAAGCGAGTTAATTTTTTTCTCTTCTTTAAGCTGTGTGTCAGCGGGAAATGTGTGTCGCACCCAAGCGCCCCTGTAGTAGACGGTAAGTTTCCAAGATTTACCTCCCCAGTCGTTTCATGTGTCAAAATATTTTTTAATTAATTAACATAGCTCCGCGGGGCACCCCCTCACACCCCCCCCCCCCCCTTCCTCCACATCATTCCCAAAATTTCTTCCTTTTTTTGAATGTGTTCTGATCGATTGCTTGTGATCAGGTTTGATTGGTGGAGATGGGGTTGTTTGATCGATGAGTGACGCCATCTGCTAGTTGTAGCCTACCTGTGAACACTTAATTGGTTGACAAATTAGCATCGATTAATGAGGATTGTACATCAACTTCCGGTTTAATGATTGTCGGTGTTGTGTTGTGGGAAAACAAGGAAATGAGTCATCCATTTATTGACAAAGCGAAATTAATTAGATCGAAATTTTTTTAGGCTTAGGCGAATCTATTATTGATTTTACACAGAATTTTTGTAGGGAATAAATCAGGGAGATTGAGTTAAGGTCTGTGGAAAAGCTACATTTATATGTAAACTAGCCGTCCCGGCCAGGCCCTGCTCTGGCTTCTGTGAAAAACCTTTCTGTTAAAGACCATTACCTGTGTGTTTAGTAATCATCATAAACCCGGCATTGCCCACCCAAACCACAACCAACCAAAACAACAAAACGCAAACATAACGCTAACACAATTACAAATACAAACGAAAACAAAAACTTAACAACAAACACAACCACACCCACAAACACCAATACAAACACAAAGAAAAAACAAACAAAAAAGCAAACGAAAACAAAAACCTAACAACAAACCCAACCACAAACACCAATACCAACAAAAAAAAAATCAACGAAAAAAGCAAACGAAAACAAACCAAATCCAAACGCAAAACCAACCAAAAACACAAATACAAACCCAAACAAAAAAAACACAAACAAAAACGAAAAAAGAAAGAACAAAAACGAACCAAATTAAAACGCAACCACTAACGCAAACCCACCTAAACACAAAGAAAACACTAACGCGAACATAAACGCCCGGGGCGGAATCACCTATTTTACTTTATGAACGACTATAGTACCCCAACTTATTCACAGTCTTTTGCACTCACTTAAACGAACGCGCCTGTTTCAATTTAATAAACAATTTTAATACTCCAAGCTTATCCGTAAAATACCTACAACATTTGCACTTGATCAATCCCCGCTAATTATGTAATTATTTTTTTTTTCCCAACACCAAAACAAAGTAATTAAAAAGTAAATTATTTTCACGGAATGCAATGGTTTTATAAAGGGAAGTAATTGTGTTTTTCCTAATTTATCAAAGGGAAGTAAGTGCTATAGGACTAAATAAAGACATAATTAGAATTTTTGTAAAAGATGATATTTTTTTTAAAACTTGTGTTTAATGAACATGCCGACAATTATTACTATAATTTGAAAAATGAAAATTATTTCCCAACACTTTCAATGGTAATTTTTTAGCTCATAAATTTAGACAAATGCGCACGATAATTTTCTAACTTTTAAATTCGTACAATTCCAACGACATACAAATGCATTACATACAGAACTGAGCTTTATATATTAGATTTAGAAAAGTTACTTTTATATGTAAACGTGGAAACGATACTTTTATATGTAAATTATTAAACTGTAGGCTTATAACACGATGCAAGTATTTAAATATAATAGCTAAACTAGAGGTGGAAGGGGGGTGGTGTAAAACTAAAATATTTTATTAGTGACGCCAGTAATTATGGTTACCCATTACATCAGGCTAATTAGGTTCTCCGGGTGTTTAAATTAATTATAGCGTCATCAATGACTCATGACGGTGTCGGTGTAGGTCATGGGGTCTGACCTGTCATGAGTATTTAGCTCAAGGTCATTAGTTGACCAGCCATGACCTGTCGCATCCATACATTCCAGGTGGTTCTAGGATTATTCTGGATTAAAGATTATCCCTACCCACTCCGACTAGGAACTTCAGTCGCAGTTTGTTTTTACGTTTCTCCATACGACCTTCCCACGTTAGTTCGTAGATGTACTTCAGTCCATAAAGTGCTTACATGTTATGAGGGGGAGGGGGGGGGGCTAATATGCTCAAAGTGATGATATGTTACAAAAAGGGTTGGGCTATTGTGGTCTATGTGATAGCTTGCTGTGGAAGGGGGGGGGGGAAGGAGGGATGTTAACCACTTCTGCCATCTCTATTTCGATTCCAAGCTAAAGTTCGTCTTTTATACGTCTCTGTGCTGATGAGTACAAATAACAAACGTGTAGCTTTTAACAATATAGTCTAATATCGTTTTCACCGTTACTTGTTCCGTTTGTTTTCCTCTTTAAGTAGCCTACTATTGTTTTAACCGTCACTTTCCCCCTTCCGGTAGTATACTATCGTTTTAACCGTCACTTTCCCCCTTCCGGTAGTATACTATCGTTTTAACCGTCACTTTCCCCCTTCCGGTAGTATACTATCGTTTTAACTGTCACTTTCCCCCTTCCGGTAGTCTACTATCGTTTTAACCGTCACTTTCCCCGCATGTTACCCCCCCCCCCCCCTCAGATAGTCTACTATCGTTTTAACCGCCAATTTCCCCGCATGTAGGTAGTCTACTATATTTTACTATCGTTTTAACCGTCACTTTCCCCTTTTGTTTTCCCCTGCAGCGAACTGTGTGTTTGGCGACCAGCCGGGCTATGCCTTCCAGAGCGAGACTTGCGTTCAGATCGTTGGCCGGTTCGGTGGTTACTGCTACCAGGGTGCGGTCTTGGAGAGGTGTTGTGGGAGCTGCAGCAAAATCTTTCGACCTCTCTACAGTAAGATTTTTGTTTTTAGTAAAATCTTTCCATCTCTCTACAGTAAGATTTTGTTTTTAGTAAAATCTTTCCATCTCTCCACAGTAAGATTTGTGTTTTTAGTAAAATCTTCTACAGTAAGATTTTTGTTTTTAGTAAAATCTTCTACAGTAAGATTTTTGTTTTTAGTAAAATCTTTCCATCTCTCTACAGTAAGATTTGTGTTTTTAGTAAAATCTTTCCATCTCTCTACAGTAAGATTTTGTTTTTAGTAAAATCTTTCCATCTCTCCACAGTAAGATTTGTGTTTTTAGTAAAATCTTCTACAGTAAGATTTTTGTTTTTAGTAAAATCTTCTACAGTAAGATTTTTGTTTTTAGTAAAATCTTTCCATCTCTCTACAGTAAGATTTGTGTTTTTAGTAAAATCTTCCGTTCTCTCTACAGTAAGATTTTTGTTTTCAGTAAAATCTTTCCATCTCTCTACAGTAAGATTTGTGTTTTTAGTAAAATCTTCCGTCTTCTTTACAGTAAGATTTTTGTTTTTAGTAAAATCTTCCGTCTTCTTTACAGTAAGATTTTTGTTTTTAGTAAAATCTGTCCATCTCTCTACAGTAAGATTTGTGTTTTTAGTAAAATTTTTCCATCTCTCTACAGTAAGATTTGTTTTTTTTTAGTAAAATCTTCTACAGTAAGATTTTTGTTTTTAGTTAAATCTTTCCATCTCTCTACAGTAAGATTTTTGTTTTTAGTAAAATCTTCTACAGTAAGATTTGTGTTTTTAGTAAAATCTTCTACAGTAAGATTTGTGTTTTTAGTAAAATCTTCTACAGTAAGATTTTTGTTTTTAGTTAAATCTTTCCATCTCTCTACAGTCTACAGTAAGATTTTTGTTTTTAGTAAAATCTTCTAAAGTATATTTGTTTTTAGTAAAATCTTAAATTTTTTTAGTTAAATCTTCCTTCCTCTCTACAGTGAGATAAAAAAAACAACAACAAAAAAACAAACTGTTTTTGGCTAGATCATAAAGCATTGTACTGAGGATTATTAGTGTAAAGTAGGCTAGAGATGATCACGTGGGACAATACATTCTAATTTTATGTTGAATAACCTCGCTATACAGTTACTTATAAATTCTTTCGTTAAAGTTAAAACACAGTGATCTAATTTAATGTTAAATAACCATTGTATATATCTGGTTATAAATGCCTTGATCTTATTTTAAATCAAATAACCATTCTATACAGCTGTATTTCAATGCTTTCATTAAGCCACAGTGATCTGATTAAATGTTAAATAACCATTCTATACTGCTGGTTATTCTTTTATAAAGCCACAGTGATCTAATTAAATTTTGAATAACCATTCTACAACTCTTGTTATCAATACTTTCATAAAGCCACAGTGATCTAACTAAATGTTGAATCACCACTTTATCCAGCTGGTTATCAATGCACTCATTAAGCCACAGTGATCCAACCTGATTCCTCTCCACAGACTGTGAGTACGGGGACAAGGCGGGTGGCTGCAAGGCTGAGGACTGCTCTCGGTACGACAGCGACACACTGAACAAGTGCTGTGGCACCTGCAACCACGGCACACCCTACACCACCAGCAGGCTCACCACCACCACAACCACAACCACATCCGCCACTAGGAAGACGAGCACGGTCATGAGCGCTGTACGAGCTGACACGTCGGTGGCCAGGGCCACGGCCGCACCAGTGGTCACAACACTTGCCAGTTAGTCATTTATATATATTTTAGATGGTCGTAGTTCCACTAACAGTTTCCAGTTAGTCATTTATATATATTTTAGATGGTCGTAGTTCCACTAACAGTTGCCAGTTAGTCATTTATACATATTTTAGATGGTCGTAGTTCCACTAACAGTTTCCAGTTAGTCATTTATACATAGTTTAGATGGTCGTAGTTCCACTAACAGTTGCCAGTTAGTCATTTATACATATTTTAGATGGTCGTAGTTCCACTAACAGTTGCCAGTTAGTCATTTATACATATTTTAGATGGTCGTAGTTCCACTAACAGTTGCCAGTTAGTCATTTAGACATATTTTAGATGGTCGTAGTTCCACTAACACTTGCCAGTTAGTCATTTAGACATATTTTAGATGGTCGTAGTTCCACTAACACTTGCCAGTTAGTCATTTATACATATTTTAGATGGTCGTAGTTCCACTAACAGTTGCCAGTTAGTCATTTATACATATTTTAGATGGTCGTAGTTCCACTAACAGTTGCCAGTTAGTCATTTAGACATATTTTAGATGGTCGTAGTTCCACTAACAGTTGCCAGTTAGTCATTTATACATATTTTAGATGGTCGTAGTTCCACTAACAGTTGCCAGTTAGTCATTTATACATATTTTAGATGGTCGTAGTTCCACTAACAGTTGCCAGTTAGTCATTTATACATATTTTAGATGGTCGTAGTTCCACTAACAGTTTCCAGTTAGTCATTTATACATATTTTAGATGGTCGTAGTTCCACTAACAGTTGCCAGTTAGTCATTTATACATATTTTAGATGGTCGTAGTTCCACTAACAGTTGCCAGTTAGTCATTTATACATATTTTAGATGGTCTTAGTTCCACTAACAGTTGCCAGTTAGTCATTTATACATATTTTAGGTGGTCGTAGTTCCACTAACAGTTGCCAGTTAGTCATTTATACATATTTTAGATCTACGTAGTTCCACCAACAGTTGCCATTTAGTCATTTATACATATTTTAGATGGTCGTAGTTCCACTAACAGTTGCCAGTTAGTCATTTATACATATTTTAGATGGTCGTAGTTCCACTAACAGTTGCCAGTTAGTCATTTATTCATATTTTAGATCTACGTAGTTCCACTAACAGTTGCCAGTTAGTCATTTATACATATTTTAGATGGTCTTAGTTCCACTAACAGTTGCCAGTTAGTCATTTATACATATTTTAGATGGTCGTAGTTCCACTAACAGTTGCCAGTTAGTCATTTATACATATTTTAGATGGTCGTAGTTCCACTAACACTTGCCAATTAGTAATTTAGACATATTTTAGATGTACCAGTGGTCACAACAGTTGCCAGTTAGTCATTTATACATATTTTATATCTACGTAGTTCCACTAAGTCCATGTACACAGGTATTAGTGGGTGGGGGTCGTCCATAAATTACGTCACACTCGTAGTGTGTCTGTGTGCAAGTGTAAATAAATTAACAATACATTTTGTTTAGATTAAAATTTATCTATATTTAAATGACTACGAATTTATCATTCTAGTTAACATCAACCACTGTCCATTGTATTTTTCATCTCGAAAAAAAAAAACTTAATTCAATCCTTGCATGGCTGCTGTTAAACAAAGTTGTGTAATTTTTCACAGGCACAACAACAACAATAAAAAGCATCTGTGTTGACGTGGAGGGCACACTGGTGAACAACATGACGTGCCAGACTGCAGTGAGGAGAGTCCCCAGCCTGTGCTACGAGGAAAAGGTCTACTCTTTTTGTTGTGACTCCTGCCAGTCGATCAATTCTGGAACCAAAGGTTTGCTTACCTCATTACATACACATTTTTATTTCAAAATTTTGTTCTGATAGTCGATCAATTCTGGAACCAAAGGTATGCTTACATCATTACATACACATTTTTATTTCAAAATTTTGTTTTTTAAACATTTATTTTCAAAAAGTTAAAGACCCTTATCTATTAGATTTCTTAATTTAAAAATAGAAAACAACTATGTAAGTATCTTCTTATTTTTGTTTGTTTAAAAGTAAATTTTAAAATCCAACATGCATTTTGTTAATTTAAAAAAATAACAGATCTGTCTAAATCTGTTTCTATATATCTATATCTTTCTATCTATATCTATTTATCTATATAAACTTAAAAATAAAGCCTTAACACTTCTTGCTGATCAATTTATATAAAAACGTAATATTATTTTGAAATTTTGTTGTGGTTTTTCGAAATTTGTTTGCATTTTATTGGTATAAAATAATATATTTATTTTAATTCAATCTAAAGTAGAATTTTAAACTGTAAATTACATACTTAAGCACCTACACTTTAATCTGCTGTCCAGTAATGTGACGCTACGGTATTTGTTCAGCATTCAACGTTATTTAGATGTTAACTTTTAACATAAATGTTTTCTCCGCAGACTGCGAGTACGGAGACAGGTACCCAGAGCGATGCCAGACAGTGTCCTGCAACCAGGCCGCCACAGACTGCTGCCGCACATGTCCATTTAACGCATCCGTGAGAATCTCCGTCCACGTCGGATTTATCATTTTCCTGACCATTGTGACCAAACTTTTTATATCAGAACCCTTGTTGGCTAGTGTTTTATAATCATTTTAAACATTGCTAGTTTGAAGTAACACACAGGGTTAAAGATGACAGATTTACTAGTTAAGTGCATTACAACAAGAACATCTGTAAGGATAAGTGGCAGTATAGTGATATAAATGGTAGGCTACAGCTAATGTCTGGAGGTGAAAGGGGGGGGGGGGGTGTTTGAGATGATTTTATTTTAAAAATGTATTTATGTATATAGGGAAATAGTTTTGTAAAAGCTATTGCACTGATAAGGACCACACATTTTAAGGATTTCACTCACATTTTATTATGTTTGAACAAAATCTCTATTTTTAATTCTTTGCAAATAAAAACATTTATATTTTATATTTTAAATAGGCAATATTTTCCAGTTTTAAAGGTAGTACCCACATTTTTAGTTTATATTTGAAAAAGGTTGTACAGTTTCTCATGATATATAAACACATTTTAAAAATCTGCATGTGTCATGATTTAAAAGATGTATCCGAGTTTTTTGTACCATTACTGCTCAAAATTGAGAAACATTTTTTTGGAATACATTTTAAAAAAGCATATAAAGAGGAAATATTGTTCATTAATTTGCAAGTATGACAAATTTAAAAATCTAATGTTGTTTTATCACAAATGGCATATTTTTTCCTACTTTGTATAATGTAATTATGACTTGTATTTCATATAATAATTTCATATTTGAGTTTAATTATAACAAGTGTTTTTGCTTAATGTAATTATAACTCATGGTATACACAAGTGTGATTTTCAGAGTGCTTTGTTGACAAACATTGAAATTTATGTTTTCAATGTGCTATTTATTGTAAATAGCCGTCTTTTGTTGAGCAAAACTTTTTAACAAAATCAAAAATATAATCTCTGTATGTATATATTACTATTTTTGCAAAACGTAACATTCCATTTTGTTTTAAAGCAATCAAACTTAAGTGTTTTTAAAAACTTAAACTTTGCTAAAAATCAAGCAATTCAGTATTCTTGATTGGAATGAATCTAAAAAATAAAAGCTAAATGTTAGTTTTATTATTGCATTTAAATATCAGTAAAAATGTAAAGTTAGTAGGCCTATGGTATTTTTATAAATGTATAATGGATAAGATTTTAACTAGTTTTAAAATCTTTATATGGGAATGAGTGTATGTTTGCTTATGTGATAATTTCCCATAGAGTTCATATGTCCGATATTGCAAGATACATTAAAAATGATCAAGAAAGTGGGAAGTAATTGATAATCTTGTTCACCAGCTGTCTTTCTTTAGCCAGATTTATCATAGATGCTTTTCAGCGAATTTTTAATTTCGCCAATATTAATGTGAAAATTAGCCAGTTGCTATGTAGGCTACACATGTGGTTTAATAAAATTGTGTTTCAAATTGTAAATGAAACAACCAAATATATAAGAGTGTTTATTCATATATTTTGTTTTAATCATGTGTATATCGACTATTGTTGGTACTTGATTGATTATATACAACAGTGCCTTTAAACTCTAGAAATACAAGTTTATTAAAAATATATCTTTAGATTGAAAAAACTATACACCAATGAAATTGTGCAAAAACTGTCATATTTTAAATAATATGAAAATTGTTTCTTTAAAGTATTTTTAAAACAAAAATGTAAATTTAAGTTTTGATTTTGTTAATGTTAGAAAGTAATACAAAGAGGCTACTTAAACCACACAAATAATCTATGCATATTTACATGTATACTTATCAACATTGGCTGTGATAAATATAATCTATTAGGATGAAAGAGAAATGCAATTTGGTGAAAGAAACCAGAGATTAAGAGAATGAATTAAAAAGTTAAGTATAAAAGGAATGGGTATAATATAATATTTGAGTGAAAAAAAAATATGTGTAAAACTTACTGCAAGTAAACCATTGGCAGAATGTGTATGGTAATTTGAGTGTAAGATATGTATTCAAATTCGTTACCAACTGTATTAAGATAAACTATGTGCTTTATGATTTGTTGTGAAATAAAAACAATGTATTCTTCAGATAAGTTATATTTTATTTTTTTATTTTATCCTGAAGAGGGTCAAGATGACATAGAATGGCATCTAACACTCGCTGACAGGTTTCCTAAGAGTGACACAAATGTTATTGTTGACATGGACAAAACACAACTTGTTTTTACCATTCTATCATTACCTATACTTACAAAAAAATTACTAAAAAAAAATTTCAATTCCTTAGTTTTTATTTGATAAGAACCACAAAAGCTGGGAATCTGAGGAATTTTTTTTTCTACTTGGAGACTACATCATGACCTAGTTAAGGCTACTGTGTTTACATTTAAATTACATTACCCACCTGTGGCAATGAGTTAATAAATCTTAAATGGGATGCATTCAGGGCAGAAACTGGGCCATCATGGTTGAGAAAGTAAAGCTCATAGTTTTTAAACTGAAAAATCCTAAGTAAGAACCCCCCCCCCCTACCCCCCAGCCCCCACCCCCCATTGTTGAAAAATTGTTTAAGTATGCTACATCCATATGTTAATGCAAAGAAAACCAAGAGAGACAACTTATCTTTAAAATACTCAAAAACAATTTATGCTTAAAAAATAAAAATGAAACAATTTGCAATCCTTCTATCAATAATGTATATATATATATATATATATATATATATATATATATATATATATATATATATATATATATATATATATATATATATATATATATATATATGCCATTAAAATAATGCTGTTGGGATTTATAGATGTTAGTACGAAATATATTTTGTAAGTCACATAAAGGGATGGAACCAAGCAAGGTTTATTTAGACGAAAACAAATGAATTGTTTCCCTTCGAATGATCCTGGTCAAAATTGTTAGATTAGTTTGTTAGTTTTTCATTACAATTTATAAAATAAAAATTATTTTCAAAACTTTTAAATACCTTTAAAATTTTAGTATTAAAATACTCTTTAAAGAGGAAAAGTGCGACGTCATATCATCAAACTAGACGTTTTGAAGACATCGTAGTCGTCATGTATTGACATGTACGGATCCCACCCCCCCCTCCCCATACACACAATTTTAAAAATGATAAAACAAAAACATCGCTTAACTTTTTCCCATTATATTAGTACGTAGACCTAAATTCTAGATCTGATTTGTCCCCGTTTCCTAGGCAGAACCCATTTTAATGATTTATTTGTCTTTATTATTCCTTATGGAAGCTGCCATTTTCGAAGTCACGTGAACAGAGGTTACGCCAGTTAAAAAAAATTAAGTCGGCCAAAATACAACGTCAACCTTTGCATGTCGTAGAACTTAGTGACACAGGTTCATAGTACAGTTGATAACGATAACTTTCTTGTGTACTTTGAACCTCTGCAGATATTATTTCAATACAGCAGTCTTTGACTCAAATATTTGCAACAATGGCTGTGGCTAAAGGTAGATTCTATTTCTAGATCTAGTTTTAATAGGCCCTATTCAATTTTTTTTTGCCGTAAATTTAGTAAATAGTTAAATAAATAAATAGAATAGATCTAGAATCTAGATCTAGATCTAGATCTATTATTATAGGCCTAATTAATAATTATTAGTTAGGCTTACTGTCAAATTAATTAATATCAAAAATATTTTACTATAGAGATCTAGTATTTAGAAATTAGACTATCCTAGTTATATAGTTAGTCTACTATTATTATATTATACATTATTCACGGCAGCCTTGTACTTGCATGCTCTGTCAACTGTAAAAACCAACACAATGATAATTGATATTAATATTATAAGTATTACTTATAAATTACTTTTTTCAGGACTGATGATCTATATTAGACTATATTTTATAGGGTAAATGAAGTAGAGTTTAACAGTTTCTTGATTTCGGCAGATGAAGGAATGGTGTGGTCAGCACTATATCCTGCCACCTTTATTTTCCCTATCTTGAGTCAGGTACCCTTTAAAGCTGGGTAGATTGAAGGACATTAGACGTTAGTAGAAATTTTAAACTTGTGACTTTTGGGTTACGAGTCGAGCACTCTACCGCCCACCCACACCATCACACCACAGTGATAATACCCTAGCCTAATAAATCTTAAACAAATCTCAAACAAATGGCATGTACAAATTTTGTCAATATAAATTCTTGCTATTTGGACCTATTCAGAAATATGTATCTTTACAATTAATTTAATCAGCTTCCTGTTTACTTATTATTTAAATAACAAACTAATTAATTAGCCTTCTAATTCTATTCAACAGCTGTGACAGGTGTTTACATTGTGGCTGCCAAACGAACTGCCTTCGGTACTTTTGGTGGCAAGCTAAAGAATATATCAGCCACAGACCTAGGTGTCTATGCAACTCAAGGGGCCTTACAGTCGGGGAAAGTCAACCCCCAGGACATCAATTCTGTTGTGTTTGGCAATGTCATTGCGGTAGTGTAGTAATTTTTTTATTTCACGCTTGTAAATTATCATATTTTCCAAGTATTTGGCTTATAGTATGATGTCACTTCTTACAAAATATTTCAGGGTATAATTTGCAATTTTACAAAATATATTGTTAACAAGGGGGAGACAATAATCAAGGGAAAATATTTAGCACTTTTTTCTATTATTTTTACGTACCAATATTATATTTTTAACGTTTAACATTATAATTGTAACAACTTACTCATGAAACAGGGATTTAAAACAAAAAATCTGTTATTATTACTATAATTCATTTAGATGTTAAAACCAATATTTTTTGTAGACTCTAAATATATGTAATTTAAGCAATAATGCCAATAGTTAGAAAGCAACTGCCCTGTTACTAGGTCTAAAATGCTTACACTAAATAATATATAATAAATATTTTATTTCTTTTAAATGTCTAAAAAAATTAAACAAAAAAAAATCTTTAAAAATTAAAAATTATGTTATCTTATCTTTCATGTTTTAATTTAGTCTGCAATAGATGGTATTTATGGACCACGTCATATCAGCCTTAAGAGTGGCATCCCAGAGGCTGTTCCAAGTCTCGCAGTCAACAGGTTATGTGGCTCAGGGTTCCAAGCTGTTGTAAATGGTGCTCAGGTATTTGAAAAGTTATTTTATATTTTGTAACTTTGTATTAAATTCAGATAACTAATTTTGGTATAGTGTTTTCTTTGTTTGATGGTTTAATTAGAGTTTTGTTGAGGGTTGCACACAGAAATGTCAAATCAGTATAAATGTTAATTTGAAGGAGATTGAGCAAAATGGAACTAGTTTTTTTTTCAGTTTTGGAATGTTTGTAATAAATCATTCTTACCAGATGTGGCATGATAACCATGTTCAGATGTTTTAGAAAATCATATGAGATTTTGGACGGCCTGTTTGAATGATAGAGCATATGACTGGTAACCAAAAAGTCTTGAGTTCAAATCTGGCTTTAAGTCTGTCGAATGTCCCTTGGTCCGCCCAGCTTAGGCGGGTACCTGACTAACATAATGGAAAGTTAAGTCTGCTGGTCATAGTGCTGACCACGCTACCCCTTCAGAGTCATAGAAACAAGGGAACTTTACTTCACTTACCCCAGGACGGAAACTTCACTTGTTTTACTTATAATGTTATATGATTGATGTTGTTTTAGTAGGTGGCATGTTATTGTATTAATATTACTGACACGATGCTGTTAAAACCTATGACTTTTTTAATCTTCAGGAAATAATGTTAGGGGACAGCCAGGTGGTCTTGGTGGGTGGAATGGAGAACATGACACAGGTTCCTTATGCTGTCAGGAACATCAGATTTGGAACTAGACTTGGGGAAGAGCTCAAGGTAAAAGTTTATTTCTCTAGAAAATATTCAACTTTTTTCTTTTTTTTTTAAAATACTAAATGTCCCTTTATCTTAAAAATAAAAAAAAAAATCGTCTACTTTACTATTATTAACTGTCATGTTAAAATTTATTTTTTAGGTTATCTAGTATCATTTTTTTTTTGTTTTTACTTTTAATGATTAATAAAAAAAAATATGTTTTTAGTTGCAAGACATGCTATGGGAAGGATTAACAGATACATATGTGAAGCTGCCCATGGGCATGACAGCCGAGAACCTGGCAGAAAAATACAACCTTTCTAGGGAAGACTGTGACAAATATGCTGTTCAGTCCCAGACTAGGTGGAAGAAAGGTATATGAATGTTTTTACCTCTTAGAAAATAAGTGTCACATATATATATACTTGTTACTTCCCTTTAATGTTAAATTAAGATAAATATTGTTGTGTTATGGGATACTTTAACTGCTATTGTTAACTAAACTTGTATATTTTTTCTCTGTAGCAAATGAAAGTGGAGTGTTTAAAGATGAAATTGTGCCTATTACACTCAAAGGGAAAAAAGGTAATTTGTTTTCTACCAGATATTTGTATTGTACTAGTCATATTTTTAAGTTTGTAAATTTTATTTCATTTTGAAAATAATAATAGATATATAGACTTTATATCTTATAATATATCTTAAAAAACTAATTTGAAATTTTATGAAGATTGTTTTATAAGCATCCAAGTTACAGCCATATAGGCTCCTACATTATAAGCCTCTAAGTAACAACCATATAGGCTCCTACATTATAAGTCTTTAAGTAAAAACTATAAAGGCTCCTACATAACATTTCTTTTATAAACATTCAAGTTACAACCATACACTGATGACTTTAAAACAATTTCAGGTGATGAGGTGTTTGAAGTTGATGAGCACCCCAGGTTAGCGACCCTTGAGGCTATTGCCAAACTTCCTCCAGTTTTCAAGAAGAATGGTGTTGTAAACGCTGGAAATGCTTCTGTAAGTATTCATTACATTTTTATATACAGAACTATTGGAAAAAATGCTTTACTTGTTAATGGTATGCAGATATTGCCATTTTTAAAAATACAGAATTAATTTTTAAACTTTTTTTGTAAAAAGCAAACCTACTTTATAAAAACATTTTAAAATTATTAATATTGAATCTTTTAAGTTTTTAACATTGAATTTTTTTTCAAATTTTTAAACAAAATAATAAATTGTGATTGAACTGTATTTTAAGGGAATTGTTGATGGAGCCAGTGCTTTAATCCTGGCCAGTGAGGCTGCTGTAAAAAGATTAAACCTAACTCCACTTGCCAGATTGGCTGCTTATGGAATTTCTGGTAAATTATTCCACAAACACAAATTGGATTTGTTTGGATTATTGAAATAAAAAAATGAGTAATGTGTTACATGAATCTTACTAGTGTGTCTAACCATTTTGCTACTGAAATTTTGTTTAGGTTAGATTTTATTAAAAGCTACACTGTCTGTCCTAAATGTATTTTTTTTCTAATTTCCTGACATTCTTGCCTGTATAAAGTACATGATTTTTAAATGCTTTCTTTCATTGGAAGTACATTTTATTCTTAGTTCTTTAAATTTTTAATTGACATACAAATTAAATAGGAACAAAAATTTTTTAAACAACAATGAAAATTGTACCATTATATCTTGTACTATATTTCACAGGTTGTGACCCTAAAATCATGGGTATTGGACCAGTGCCCTCATCTAAAGCTGCTCTTGCTGTCCTGAACAAAACTGTTAAAGATATGGATGTTGTTGAGGTCAGTTGTCTAATTTTAGATTTATTGGCTCTATAAAAAGGTCTAAAGCTCATTCAATTAAAATATACAAAATATACATCCCTGCTGTCTTCAGTTCGGATGTCTTAAGGACATTTTTGGGGGATTCCTCTGTCCTTGACATTTGGGGGGGGGGGGGATTCCTCTGTCCTTGACATATTTTTTGGGGGGATTCCTCTGTCCTTGACATATTTTTTGGGGGGGATTCCTCTGTCCTTGACATTTTTTTGGGGGGATTCCTCTGTCCTTGACATTTTTTCAGCTGCTTATGTCATCTGTTTCATGTTAACTTAACGCCAATGTCTTTGACTATTTGATTCCGCAGGTGAACGAGGCCTTTGCCCCTCAGTTTTTGGCTGTCAGTAAAGAGCTGGGCTTGGACAACGACAAGACCAATGTGAATGGAGGCGCCATTGCCTTGGGTCATCCCTTGGGGGCCACAGGTGCTAGGATAACAACGAACCTGGTCTATGAAATCAGGTAACTAAATAAATCTACTGCAGATTCCTATTTTACCATTTCAGCAAAGGAATTAATGTTGGGTGTCATTTGAACCCACACACTCAGTCTTGCTGGTGATTTGATCTTAAGCTACACAGACAACAAGAGAAGGTAGTAATGAGTACTTCCTCTATCCATGTTGCCAGCTACTAGACTCATATGATTCTACCTGGCTGCTCTAGGTGCATCGCACCACCTGGTTTGGATGTGTGTACATGATAAACCAAGATGCAGAACTGGTGTCTTGCTGGTTAAAAGTGTGTGCTCTACTCCTAGACCATCTACAAATTTAACAGTTTAAACATGTTTGAACAAAATATTTCAACCTTGGAATAGTTACACAGAAGAGTTAACCTCTCATTTCAAAAGACGTCTTATATATATAGCTAAATTTATGATTTGTATTTTACAGGCGCAGAAACCTCAAGTATGCATTGGGCAGTGCATGCATCGGTGGAGGTCAAGGTATCACAGTTATTTTAGAGAAGGTCTAACTTTGTTGAACTGTTTAACTTTGGTTGTTTTTTTTACATTTTTAATGTATAATTTCAAATGGAGAATTTATGTTAATCACGACCTTTAAAAATGTAGGCTTTCATTAATTTCATGCTATTCTATCGATTAGTTTGAAACTGAAAAATATTTATAAATTGTATGCACACGTTTCCATAAATACCTGCCCGCAAGGTTTTTTATGGATTGTTTGTATTTTGTGATAAGACAATAGAGAAGTCGGTTCTTTTAAGACTTCTATTGCTCTAAAAATAATAAACAAAAGTAATCAAATTTAAATGGCAACTATTTTGTTTTTCTCTTTTTTTTCTTTATCAGAATGCTACTGTATTGAATTTAGGTATTTTCATTTTTTTTTAAAATTTTACAGAAATTTATTGGTAATTTTCATGTCTAATGATGATTAACTCCCTTGTTAAATAGTAATGAAAGTATTACTGTTAAAACAGTCACATTTTTGTTTATTTACTCTGTCATGTGAATAACTAATAATTTTTAACAAGCCAAATATGAGAAGTTTCTATTTTAATATAAGTAATGTAGAAACCCATCCAAGTGAATGAATGAATTGACATCATTAAATAATCACAGTACAAATAATGTATTCAAAGCAAGTATAACTAACACTCCAGAAGTTTATACTTATAACACATTTGTAATATCATACTTGGAAAAAAATAGACATACCAGCTACCAGTGTTGATAGTGCTTGACATCTTAATTTATAAACCACTACCATGGTTGTGTAAAAAAAATAAAATAACGTATTACTACCATCATTAATGGAATATGCCATGACAATTTAACCCAATAAAACACTACCATCATTATTGGTAAAAAAAAAAAAAAGGTCTTTAAAAACCCATCATTGTAGCCCACTTGACTTGAGAATTCATTTAAACCCACAAATCATTACCATCATCGATGGTATGATAACTAATATACTGAGCTTGAATAAAAAAAAGTGCTGAACACAACCCTGCAATGTGGTATTGCAGAAAGTATGAAGCACTTTATCCCAAGTGCTAGTATGAAGGCGGGAGGCGGGAATCCCACCCTATGCACGCTTTAAAACTAAATACACGAGATGATAAGCGTCAGCAGTGGGGTATTGAAGTGAGCAGATACGCCATTTCTTTCAACATAGTAAATCTAATGTAATTAGTATCCCACTGACACACACGTAGCCTACATTTATTCTATGATGCTATCATTTTCAATCCAATAATGCACCTGTACAGCCATCAAATTTCTACCCCAATCACACTCCTATGCAATCATTATACAGGGCTTTTAACCTGGTAGTCCAGTAACCCTTGCTTTAGAATAATGAACCCGAACATTTGTTCCTGTCTTATGTCCGTACCGGTACTTAAAGAACAGAAGACAGCCGACTAGCAAACGACTGTCTTGCCGTAGAGAATTGAGCGAACCCCGAGGGCGGTGCTATAGAGAGACGGCTGACGCCATCCCTCGTGTCTTCCTCGTTGTGGAGCGCGTCCTCCACGTCATGCAGGATGCACCTCCGCGGGATGATCGAGAACAGACCCCCTCGTTCAAAGGTAGCCATCGTCCTGGCCGGGACTCGAACCAGCAACATCTGGATCCCGGCCTGGTGGTAGAGAACGATCACCATCTTGAGCATGTTGAAACCGTCCAGGTCGACGTAGGTCATGGCCGAGCAGTCGATGATGATGCACTTGATGGACTCTTCCTCGTTGCGCAGGTTCATCAGTTCGTTGTCCGGGTCGTCGTCCAGCTGGTACGTGATGTCGTGGACCGTCGTGGGGTCGAACACCTTGCCGTACAGCTGTTTCTTAAACGTCTCGGCGTTGGCGAAAAAAAGCTGGGAAGGGAAGTAAAAAATCCGGATCCCAGGGATGTTGCTGACGCCTTCCCGGTTCTCTCCCTGCACGAGAAGGTTCTCGTCGTCCGCCTTAGCGATAAGCGTCCCTTCCACGCGCTGGTTGTTGACGATGATCCCGAAAACAGACAGCAGAATCCCGCAGACGATCCCGTAATGCAAATCCGCGAAGACCGTTATCAGGAAAGTGAACACCCAGACGATGAAATCCGTCCTGCTGACCACGTATATCCTGAAGATGGTCAAGCACTGAAGGAGGAGATCCTTGACGGCCACCATGATCATAGCGGCTAGATAAGGAATCGGCAATGTCTCCAAAAGCGTGCCGGCGAAAAACATGCAGAACAAAAAAGCCGCCGTCACCACGCCGTTGAGGACCGTTTTAGTCCCGGCGTTGCTGAGGATCATAGTCCGGGGTGGGGACACACTGGACACCTGGCATTTGAAGAACGACGACCCCAGGTTGCAGATTCCGTAGGCGATAAGCTCCTTGTTGCTATCCACATCGTACCCGTGGATTTTCGCCATCAGCATCGCCATCGATATCGTCATGGCGAACACGATCATCGTCAGCACAATCGTGTCGCCGAATATTTGCCCAATCGCTAAAAAATCTGGCAATTCCGGTTTGGGAAAGCCCAGCGGCACGTGCCCGACGATATTGACGCCATATTTTTTATTCAAATCCGTCACGTAGGAGACGAAGGTAAAAAGTATGACTAGGATTAGATTAATGGGTGGCTCGTAGCCATAGCGACGTTTGCAGCGAGGGTTAGCGAAGACAACAAAGAAGAGAAGAACCACGATGCTTGTGATGGATATAATCACGTCTAGGTAATTGGTGTTGTGGATTTCTTTAAAGATGTCTCTATACGTCTTGATTAACTTTCCCGCGCCCGAATGCGTCTTGACTTTGATGTGAAATACATGCTTCATCTGCACGGTGAAATAAATGTAACATTTTAATTAACGACGTATTTTATTTATTAAAACTTAATAAACTTAATTTTGAGTAAGTCATTTACAGCTACTTTATACCGCTGAAGCATTTTAAAGCGCTTTTAAAGAGAATAGTGATAAGGTTCTTGTAGTTTTTAAGGAAGGGATGGAATTGCTATCCTGCGACCTGCCCGCGTAAATTTTACCAGTATAATTACCGGTACCTATAAGTACTGATTGGGCTCAATCGTACACTTGGCCAATATCCCACAACTTGAATTAGTATCATGTTACCAGAGGCGTAGCGAGAATGGGGGGGGGGGGGGGGCTGGGGGGGGGGGGGGACATATGTCCCCGGGCGCCGTTTTTAGGGGGCGCCAAAATGGGTTGGAAAAACAAATTGAAAGCTTGAGGGAGAGGTGCAAATCGAAAGTTGGAAAGGGGGGGGGGTGCAAAACGCTACGTCTCTGCATGTTACCTATTTATTTTTAAGACAGACACTAAGTATATGCCCCGTTTCAATTCGTCCTTTTCAACCCCTTCCCCACGTAGCACATCGTCAAAACTTTCCAAAAACTCTCCCTCCCAATCCCCTAAAGTATAAATAACTTTAATAACAATAAACCAATATGGCCGCCCGTTTCACCTCAGTGCCGCTATCCTTACCTGGCTAGTGGCGATGTGGACAGACGCCCCCGTGGTGAAGCCGCCCACGAAGGAGGACGGCATGTAGCTCGTGACGAAACCCACGCGCAGGAGCCCCATTAGAATGAGGATGACGCCCGAATAGAACGCCGACGTCATAGCCAACCGGATTTTGTAGTTCATAGCTGCCTCAGAGTCAGACGCCAGGGTTTCAGCAGTCGGTAAGGTTGCATTGGGATCCGGCTCCTTTTCTAGAAAAGAAAAATGCATACAATTTAGATAGTCTAGATTGAAGTTGAACAATTCTTTACATAAATATAATATAGCGTACCCTTCCCGCGCGTTGCTGCGGTCATATATGATAATAAGTTTTAATTATGTTGTAAGCTATACAATTTGTATACTGTATATTATTATCGTACGGCCTTCACTAACAAATTATGTCTACGAAGCATTCTAAAACTATGTGAAAACCCCTAGTGGCAAAGTACAAGGCAAAATCCCATTAATAAGGCTATGAAAATACGCTTTGGGATAGCTTGGGCATCCACTGAGATAAACGCAATAGACTATCGCCTAATAGTCAACAAACACTATATTTAAATCCTCAAGGAAAAAGGAAAGTGGGCAGACAAAAAAGGCGTACTGGATGTCTATAGAAAGTGAAGTAAAGGCTGCTGGAATTAATGGACCCAACTAAAGAGAGCCACCCGGATTAGAGTGCGTTTGAAGGGTGTAGTTGCACTCTTTGCTCCATGAATGACCCACACGATTAATTCAATATTATTATGTACGGTCATACAGTCGAACGCACAACGGCTTAAGTATAAAAGTTGGATTCCTGGACGAGTCCATTGGACGGCCCATGAGTCCGCCAAAGTTTTGATGTGTGCATGATACAACGTTACGAAAACTTAAGGCGATCGAGCTTGATAACTGTACTGTTTAGTTTATCACTTCACACGACGAGCTCATGGAAACCGGTGAACTCTACTTCATCTATACAAAAGGGCAACGTCGGAGCAGTCATATACACGCATGCGCACAAACACATACACACAGATAGGCACATACTGACAGAATGGCAACATTTTTTTTTTGCCTGCACAAGATTTGTTAAAATCGAGATTTCAATATTGTTGTTGTTGCTCTATTACAATACTTTCCCTTATAGTTTTTAATACATGACTTAAGAGGAAAAACAAACGAAGGTACCTGATTGTCCATACCCGGCTACTAAAGCTTGATTTTCCACCATGGCAGCGGTGATGAGGGATAAAACCGAGTTAGTCCCCATGGATATATGAGGGCAAGTGCCGAAAAAGATGTACAGCAACACGGGGAAGAAGGACGTGTACAGACCGGATATTGGGCTCAACGATGCCAGGAGTCCGTAGGCCAAACCCTGAGGGGAAATTCAGATTTGATACATTCTTAATTAATATTTTTTTCTGATTTTTTGTATCAGACAGAACTACAGGCGGGTCTGAAAGGTGGGAGGGAGCGATGGATGTTATTGCTTAGCACCACGATACAACATATTTCTATTATATATATATATATATATATATATATATATATATATATATATATATATATATATATATATATATATATATATAAACTCGAGACTCTTCAATAGAGTCCTTTCATATGACGTCACGTCCGTTCGTGATACCTACGCCCGCCGCCACAGTGGTGTACACAAGACGTAAACACAATCAGCTGTTCGCCAGCGCTGGACGTGTTCACCAGCGCTGGACGCGTTCACTGTATCAACTGTATGTAAAGAACCGCACCCGCGGAAAAGGAAAAATACGTTAAAAAACTTGAACGCTTAGGAATTGAAGATCCTTATACTGTTATTGACAGTTTCGTATAAATAAATATGTGGACAAAATTTCTAAATAAAAATACTGTTAGTAATACTGTTTGCGTTTAGAGTTAAAGTAGCCGAATCTGATCAAATGCAGTTCTCGATACTTTGTTTCATGTAAGGACAGTAAAATAATAAACTTCATTTTAATTATAAAAGATAACTATTAATAAAACAAATATGCTCGACCTTCACAAATACTAATAGTAAAAGACAAAGTCAAAAGTAATAGGCTAATAAGAATAATAAGATCTAATAGTAGGCCTAATACCTGGCTCCGCTGGGTAGACATAGAATCTAGAATCTACTTCTTTACTTAAATTTAATTACTTTAGATCTACATTCGATTCAAAATACACCCATAATAAATCAAAAGTAGTCATAATAGGCCTAATAAAGCATTTAATTGTCTCTAAGATCTAAAATCTCGCTCTATTATCTAATCATTTTTTTAGCAAACGAAATTTTCTGAAATTGAAATAGATTATATGACTAGACTTAGATCTAGAATCTGCTACTTAAATTAAATTGTAAAAACTTTATACAAGCATGTAGTTGATATTATTGTAGTAGAAGGCTTTAATAAATTACTAAGGCCTACCTACTTTGTTGTCTTTTTACAGCAATATGTATCTGATACTGGACTGAGTTTAATTAAATTCAAATTCATATCTAGTAATTGGTCTACTAAGTTTTTGTAGCCTAGTAGTACAATCTAGATCATACCAGCCAACAACAAATAACCACATTATTATTATGTGGTTAATGATTAGGCTAATTTTTTTTTAAATCCACTGTTTATAAAAGAAACAAATCAAGCTAGAAACATTATAAGTGAGATGGTTTAGAATAATAACAATGGACCCAGTCTACAATTGATACAATTGCAGGTCTACATAGGGCCTACAGTCTAGTAGTTTACAGTAGGCACCTAGTGTGTAGCTAGTATACTAGTGTGTAGCTGTCCAGAGTTAAGATTCTTAATGCCTTAATGCTTTCCCCTGATAAGCCGTGTGTGCTATAAATGACATAACATGACACCGAGGTGAGAAGTGTTGAGGGGAGAGCAGTGGGATTTTCCCCTTTGTTCTCCCTGCTGGGCCCTGAGGGTCAAAATTATATAAGAAATACTATCTCTGTGGGGCTGGGTATCACGGAGGTGAGACATTTTCAGGGGAGGGCAGGGCAGACTCCTCTTTGGTTTTATTGTGGGCTAGATACAGGTGGAGGCAGCCATTATGAGGGTTGAACGTCAGTATTAATGTGTCTGATTACTTCCCTGCTGGATTATAAGGGTCTTAAATTGTATAACATGCTACCCAGATTGGTTATTACCCATGGATTATATTAGCCGTTGTAGTGTGGGTTTTGTAGGAGTTAAGTGGTCTCACGTTTGCTACAGTAGATAACCTCTAATATATTACTGCATTTGATCAGCTTCGTCTACTTAAACTCTAAACGCAAACGGTATTACTAACAGTATTTTTATTTAGAAATTTCGGCCACATATTTATATTATCCACGAAACTGTCAATAACTGTATAAGGATCTTCAATTCCTAAGAGTTCAAGTTTTTTAACATATTTTTCCTTTTCCGCGGGCGCGATTCTTTCCATACGGTGAACACGTCCAGCGCTGGCGAACAGCTGATTGTGTTTACGTCTGATGTACACCACTGTGGCGGCGGGCGTAGGTATCACGTGATTTAGGTCACGTGTTTGCAAGGACTCTATAGTCGCCCTTTGTAGAGATATCCTTGTCCAAAAATGTCCTTTGTTTGGAAACAGATTAAGGAGAAGATATTTTGTGTTTTAAGCCAAAAAAAAATCACAATGTCACTAATTACGGTACCGTATACACTACTATAACAAGTAGTGGTCAGGTATATCATAATCACCTGTTAGGTGGTAGATAAATCACCTAATGTCTATGGGGACAGCCAACAAATCGTTAACTGACCTGCCGGTGTGTTAATTTACCTACCTGTGTGTTAACTTACCTGCCTGTGTTAACTTACCTGCCGGTGTGTTAACTTACCTGCCGGTGTGTTGCCTTACCTACCGGTGTGTTAACTTACCTGCCTGTGTGTTAACTTACCTGCCTGTGTGTTAACTTACCTGCCTGTGTGTTAACTTACCTGCCGGTGTGTTAACTTACCTGCCGGTGTGTTAGCTTACCTGCCTGTGTATTAACTTACCTGCCGGTGTGTTAACTTACCTGTCGGTGTGTTAACTTACCTGCCAGTGTGTTAACTTACCTGCCGGTGTGTTAACTTACCTGCCTGTGTGTTAACTTACCTGTCGATGTGTTAACTTACCTGCCTGTGTTAACTTATCTGCCGGTGTGTTAACTTACCTGCCGGTGTGTTAACTTACCTGCCTGTGTATTAACTTACCTGCCGTGTTAACTTACCTGCCGGTGTGTTAACTTACCTGCCTGGGTGTTAACTTACCTGCCGGTGTGTTAACCTGTGTGTTAACTTACCTACCTGTGTGTTAACTTACCTACCTGTGTGTTAACTTACCTACCTGTGTGTTAACTTACCTACCTGTATGTTAACTTACCTATCTGTGTGTTAACTTACCTGGGGCATATGGAGGAAGCCCACAGATAAACCGGCCACGATATCACTGTACATATAGGCTTTCACGTTGTAAGTCTTCACTGTATTAATCACCGGCAAGATTCTGGATATATATATATATATATATATATATATATATATATATATATATATATATATATATATATATATATGCTGTAATAGTCCTATTAGTGTTTTGATAAAAAAGAAAATTTGTTGGTATATCTCCATTTTACCATTCACACCAAGGCTTAAATTTCAGGCTTTCGTGGATAAAGAAACGCACAATGAAAATTTCAATCCACTCCCCTAAGCTAAACAATTGTAACGATACACTGCGCGGAAATTGGGTCAGGGTTCAATAAACGTATCAAAATATTTTTTTTGGCTATGCGTGCACTATGGCAGAAGGGATGACATGGCCTAGCGGTAGAGAGCTAGACGGCTAACCCGGGTTCAAATCAGTGGAACGTCCCTGAGTCCACCCAGCTCTGAAGGGTACCTAGCTTACGTTAGAGAAATAAAGGCGACTGGGCATAGTGCTGACCACACCTATCCAGAGGCGTAGCGACCCTTCCCGGCGCCCGGGGACATACTTTCAATTTGGCCCCCCTTGGGAGCAAATTTTCGATTTGCACCCCCCCCCCCCCTCGAACTTTTCATTTGCACCCCCCCCCCCCTCAAACTTTCGATTTGCACCCCCCTCGAACTTTTCATTTGCACCCCCCTCAAACTTTCAATTTGGCGCCCCCCCCCTAAGGTCGGCGCCCGGGGACATATGTCCCCCCCCCCTCGCTACGCTACTGCACCTATCCCTTCATATGCCAGGTCTATGAATCAGATGAACTATACTTTACAGTGTTTCTTCAAGGCATCTTTTCGGGGGCTTCGAAGAAAGTGTACCGCCCCGCCTAGAAAATACATACTTTTAACAGTGTCCGCCCCCCCCCTTCCCCCGCGAATTTCAAGTGCCCCCTCCCGGAGAAAAAGGTCTGGAATCTTGGGCAATAACCGGATTAAGAGAAGCATTATAGCAGAGCTCCCGACGGCTAAACGAGTTCGGATCACGGATGTATTAAGGAAAGTAAAAGCGGCTGGGCATAGTACTGAAAACGCCATCCCTTCATATTATGCCTTCATAAGGCTTAAATCACAAAAACAGATGAGTTCTACTTCATCTGTTGCCGTGCTCGAACGGGTAACTTCCTTTATACATCCACAAAAAGCTATGTATATTTAAAATATACATGTGGTTACACATCCACACGACATACAATTGGAACAGCACCGTGCCACAGAGGCGTAGCGAACCTTTCCGGCGCCCGGGGACAAACTTTCCATTTTGCGCCCCCCTCGAGAGCAAACTTTCGATTTGCACCCCCCCCCCCCCCTTTCAAACTTTCGATTTTCACCTCCCCTCAAACTATTTACAATGCAAAAATGAAGCTAAAATGACATTTTAATTTGTCTTTACAACCCATTTTGGCGCCCCCTAAGGTCGGCGCCCGGGGACATATGCACCCCCCTGCCCCCCCCCCCCCCCCATCGCTACGCCACTGCCGTGCCATACTAACCTGGAGCAGCTGAATCCCTCATTGACTTGTGTGATAGGTTCTTTGTTACTATAAGTGTATTTGTCCTCAACATCGTCGAATGTGTACGCTCGTCTAGTCGTCTCGATTTTCGATTTGCGCTTGACTTTGTTTTTCTTAACTCTGATTGAAAATAATTCTCACATCAGTGTTTTTATAGGAAAAATACTTGTATCATATTCACAAAAAAAAATAAAAAATTACCAATTTGCTGTTGTGACTAAAAATTAAAGATACTATGTCGCCCTTGAATGATGTTACAATAATAGGGGATAGGTGGGGGTGTGTGGGCTCGAACTTTAATGAAGATGTGTGGCGATGGTGAGGGGGATACGTTTAGAAAGTCTGGCGTCGTTTATGGACAACCCTTTATGCTCAAAACACATGGGTGGATAGACCACTTACTCTATTACAAAATCTACATTTGAGGTCGATCGATTGGGGTCCTCCATCATTCAACTATAAAACCGTACAAACAAATTTACAAATTATTTTACGCTGTCTTTTGTTTTCATGCCATTTTTTTTTATAGTTCGCACCAGTTCATCATTAGCTGCAGATGGTGCTTTAAAAAAAATCCAATCTATGTTTAAAAGTGCATAGATCTAAATTTTTAGATCTATTTGTAGTTCATAGGGGTTATATACGTACTTAGAGTCCTTTAAAAAAAATCATTCTTAATCATGTGTAGCCAATATTTCGTAAAGAACATGGAGGTTTCATTTTCCCCCACGTCAATGTATTGGAAACCTTTGAAGCAGGCGGAACTCAAAAAACTTTGATTGGTACATGTTAAAAGAAATGTTAGAAATTATATATATATATATATATATATATATATATATATATATATATATATATATATATATATATATATATATATATATATATATATATATATATATAACAGTGGCGTAGCCAGGAATTTTGTTTTAAGAAGGGTTCCCATTTTTCTTATTTATTAAAAAATATAAATTTGGTAACTAGGAGTAGCTGGTAGTGAAGAGCTATACCCCTTGATGATGTTATCGTACCTCAAAGAGAAAAAATAGTTTCACGCCGTTCTTTGTAAATTAATTGACAATTTTCGGCAGATGCATTTTTTAAAAGTTGGAACACATACTGATCTAAGTTCCTTAGTCCTCCCTCAAGCAATTATACACCTGTAATTCGTTAGCCTGTTGTAATTCTAAACGGCAGCACTTTTTTTTAAACTGCTTGTCAGAGCTCCAGAAAAAAGCACAAATCACAAATCACATGTCTCCTATGGGTTTACTATTACTTATGCGTACGATTAACCTGTAGTATCACCTTGCGGCTCTCACATTGGCAACTATGCCCTGAATATCATAAACTGTCGCCGTGTCAACCACCCTACAATTAAAATGAAACTTATTTTCTATGAGACAGTCTTTGGGTGTGATCTACAAAGTTACTGGGACAGAATAGTGAATATTTTGCCGGGAAAAGGGCTAAGAAAGTAACAGTGGTATTACGATACACAATTTTTTAATTTGTAGTGGAGAGGCGTAGCGACCCTTCCCGGCGCCCGGGGACATACTTTCAATTTGGCGCCCCCCTCGGGAGCAAATTTTCAATTTGCACCCCCCCCTCGAACTTTTCATTTGCACCCCCCCCCCCTCAAACTTTCAATTTGGCGCCCCCCCCCCCTAAGGTCGGCGCCCGGGGACATATGTCCCGCCCCCCCCCCCTCGCTACGCCTCTGTGTAGTGGGTCCCAAGGGAGAGGAGAGGACGTTATAACCCCTCCTCCTCTAACCCGCCATCGCTCCGAAAGGAAATTATCACTAATCAAGGGAGGCTACACTGACAACCTAATTTTCTTGAAAGTTTTTCACGGTAGTCTTTTCCTAGTCATCGACTGTTTATAAATAGCTATTAGTGATAAAACGGGTAGTAATAAATTTGTAGTAATATTAGTAATACAGTTAGACCTAGATCTAGTATCTTTTTTTAACCATACTGTTGGGTGCTGACTTAGACATTGGGTCGAAACATCCACTGTGCCTGTAATTGTCTTAAATTTTTTGTAAGGATGCTCACTCTACCCGTTTTACCATTAGCATAAACATCGCCTGCAGCAACAATTTTTAATAGGCTTTATATTCAGAGTTTCTTCCAGGCATCTCTTCGGAGGGGGGGGGGGGGGGGGGGGCGGGGGGAGAAGAAAGTCTACCGCCCCACCCCCCCCCCCCCCCCGAAAATTTCAAGTGCCCCCCCCCCCCCCCCCCGGGAGAAAAAAGTCTGGAAGAAACACTGTTTATATTGATAAAAAGCTACGCATTTTACCCCAGATTCTATAGGCCTATTCATTTTTGTTCTCAATGTATAAAAATCGAGGATTAGGTTGAATTGTACAATTTAATAATATTTTAATCAATGGCTTAATGAAAAAATATGCAAATATGATAGGTAAGTGTTTTACTACAGAAGCTTTCATAGAACTTCCCAGAAAATAAATCAGGCAAAAAAAATTTTAAAGATCGAACTTTTTTTTAATTAAAAAATTTAGATCTAAATCTATAGGGCCTATTTGGCGCATGTACGTCTATTCGGTGACCTTTTAAATATTCTTGCATTTTTTCCTTTTATTTTCATAACAGGAACAGCTGAATAAGCTTTGACTACTAACTTGTGATTATGAGCTTTCTTCTCAAGTTAATCTTCAAAAAGCTTTTGCGAGAAATCATTACGGAGTTCTTTCCTAGCAATGACTCATTCATGCCTACATGAAGTTTGTGTGGGAATTTCGTTTTGAGAAATGAAACAAGCGGGCTCTTCCGGAAATTAAGACAAACAGGATTGGAGGAGTTGTGTGCGTCAGTTAAGGTACAACTATCTAGCAGGAAACACATGACTCAAACCTGATCATTAATGGTTTTTTTTTTAATAATTTTTTTAAATAAAAAAAAAACAGCGCAGAAGAAAATACACGCTCAGTAAATAGGGATGGTTCTTTGATTTTTGTGAGAGAAGTAACCAAGCTTTCCACTGTAGTTGACGCCTTAATTATTTTCAAAATAGTGGTGCTACTTAAACATCCATATCATAGTCTTTAGTCAACGAGTGTATAGCGTATTTGAAAGTAATATTTATACAGGTTTAATGATTTTAGCATCCGGCTAGAGCGGGGTACTGTTTATAAAAGTTAGCCTATTTCGTAAATAATATTCCATATTTGGAATACGTAGACTGTCAACCAATCAAAACGTATCACAGACCGGTCTCAGGGCAGTAAAAAAAGAATTAGTCACGTGACCAAATAACACTCCCTTCACTGTGACAAAATGGCGAACCGAAACACAGTGCACCTCTCTGACGAACAAATTAAAGATCTTCGAGAACAATTTCAAACGGTAAGTTGGTTTATAATTTGGTGTATTATTTTTATGCGATTGTGAAAAACACAGATCTGGGCTTTATTATTGTTAAGACAATACTTTCTTGTTATCTAGATCTATCTCTAGACCTAGAATCGAGATTTAGAACGTGTGTTATTTTATTTAGTTTTTTAGGCCAATGTTGTATACTTACTTGTTCGACTTGGTTTTTTTCCCAGTGGCGTCACCCCTCTATCTGATCTTTATCATTCAGTGTATCGGAATATTTGTTTACACGCCTTGCCACTAATAGGTCTAGAAATCTATGTTTAGATCTAGATCTATTAATTAGGGGCCTACCTATTCGCCCTAAATTAAAATTTGAAGAGAATTTGAAGACAAAAATCACAATGATTTGATTTGAATGATGAATAGGCCCTAGGCCCTAGGCTCTAGACTAGGTCTAGATCTAGGCCTAATTGAATATGATTATGAAGAGACTGTCACAGCTAGTCACAGTAGTAAATACTAAATAGTCTAGATTCTAGTAACTGTGAGTCTCTGTGTTCTAGCTAGATATTCATTATTCTTGACTAGATCTAAATCTAGACTTTTACTTTTACAATTACAATTGAAATGATAGGCCTAGGCCTACTTAAAATGTTAAAAGTAGGTAGATCTAGATCTAGCCAGTATCGTCTTTTGACTCTAACTCTAATCTAAACTTGTAAAGTCTAATAATACTCTAATGCTAATCTAGTGCTAGTCTAAACGTTCAACTTAGAGTTAAGCTAAATTTAATTTTAGATTATTGCTTTAGACACTAAACATCTATACTAGGCCTATAGCACCTGTTTACTAGTTAGGCCTAATTAGTCTATTTTAAAAGCTAACTGTAAAAATGTAAAGGTAGGGCCTATATTAGGACTAAAATAAAATAGGCTCTTATTTCAATCTATTATTGTTATTCTATAGGCATGAGCTGGGTCATGTGTTTTTATTTTAATTTTATGAGGCTTACTTCTGTTTACTTTACATTTAACTACAAATATTATGGCCTAGGTAATTTATACTGATCTACATGGGTAGCTAGAAACACTAAGTATGAGTGCATTAATGATTAGTTAGCCTAACTGTATTATTTTATCTACTAGGCTATACTTTGTCAATAGTTCTCAATCTCTTTGTTTTTGAGTATAGACATAGGCCCCTATTTTTGTCATGTGTCTGAAGTGTGATACTGTAACAGACAACTTCAACAAGTTGGCTTTTAGTTATACCCTGTGTGATATTCTAGTGTGGTAGTGTAACATATCTATAATATACATTTATAATTTATCTTCTTGGTATATGTAGAATTTAACTTACAAGTATGCTGTGTTAAGAATTTTTTTAGTTAGTAGGCCTATAGAGATTCACACGTTTTATACATATGTATACACATAGGCCCATAGCCACTCATTCTAATTTTAAACCATATGTGTGCATCATGAGCTTTTTTTTTTGTGACTGATGGTGGTAGTTAATTGCATACACAAGCATATGTGATAAATCTATGAAACTTATCATCTATCACTGTAATGCAATACACACACATGTGTTAACAGGTGCTGGCTATTTCCTCAGATAAGATGCTAAATATAGAACTGATATTTGTTCTGGCTTTATATGTGCTGGTATATTGTCAAATTTAATTAAAAAAACATTTCCTGTGTAACCTGGGTGGTGGGGCACATCTTTTAAAGGTCAGGTTATGATAACAATGATATTGAGTATTTTGCATTGCTTGCATCCCTATCATGTGCTGTTTGAATGATTCACTATGAGACATGTTTTATTGATTTCTCTGTGTTGTGCAGCCTTGTGTGGGCTATGATAGGCAGTTATATCAGAATTTTTTTCCCTCCAGATGCTCGTGTTAGCCATATGTTTGCCCACATGAATATATCTGTTTCTACATGTAAATCAGCTAAGCTTTAAGAAATTTTATATAAAGAAAGTTATTTTCAATATTACTGTTTTTTTTTGTTAAACTTGTTTTTCTTTTAGACAAGATGTTTTATTGTATGGTTGTTGTCTATTCACTTTTTGTGTGTAAGAAATCTAGTAGGCTAATTTTAGAATAAGTGATCCGCAGGTTAATCAATGCAGTCAGGTAATTACCAGAGTGTTGTAAGACAATGGTGGACCAGTGTGTTAAGTTCATTACTGGCTTATCTGATATGGGGAGAATTTCCTATTAGTGCTCTTTCAACTGGTTACAATTGTATTCATATAACTCTGAGACCATAGTGTAGGGCAAATTTGTTACAATTGTTTTGGTATAAGTCTTATACCATAGTTTAGGTCAAATTTGTTACCATTGTATTGGTACAAGTCAAGTCATCAATGAATGCTAGTAATACTGGTGTGTTTACACAGAAAGCTGCTTCTTTAGACATTAATCTTTTATCAATACATTTTCTGCTTTGTTAGGGTTGTGAACAGAATCCTGTTTGTTTAGAGGAGTAGATTGTACTGTTGATCTCAAGTATTTGAAGTGTGTCCTTGATGTATTGTTTGTTTTCGTTGGATTCATTGTCAGTTATGTTGTAATGGTAGTTTGGAGTGTGCAATTTTTTGCTGTATTTCGGTAATTAAACGTGTCTTAGGTTGTTGTTTAGATTTATTTGTGAACGTCTTTTCATTGCAACTGTATGTATTCTTTCCTTGGGAATTCTAATCAGCAATTTTCATCCCTAGTTTTTCAAGTTGGTTTTTTAATAGACCGTTGGTACGGCTGTACTGAGTTGTAAGGTCACTCCAGACTCCATCCATATCACGGGGGTTCTGGGCTAAGATCATGGTTTTGTTGGGGGGAGGGGTTGTGGTTGAGTAAGGGGGTGGGTATATTTAAAAAGCATCCTGTTGTTGTACTTTCGATACCTTAAATGTCAATATCATAAAATAATAATAAAACTTGTGGTTGGACATGGGTAACAATACAGTTCGATTTCAAGCTTGTGTTCAACCTCGCTCACCCATCTGTCTATAGCCAGCCGGACAACACACGGTCGTGTATCATAGTGCTTATGGCGATATGTCCTCTAACTACACGTATTATTTCAAGCTTGTCGGTCCAACCCTACTCACGCTGTGTAACATAGTGCTTATGGCGATATGTCCTCTGACTACACGTGTTGTTTCAAGCTTGTCGGTCCAACCCTACTCACGCTGTACAGCCGGACAACACACGTCCGTGTAACACCACACTCCCACTACCAACGGCCCGCCGCCCTCACACCACCAGCTGTGTCAAGGCCTACTGTATGTTGTCCCCCGGTACCCTGTGGCTCGCTGCCCGGTATTTGTCTTTGCAGGAATGTTGCGATCAAATATGCCCGGACCATAGTTCGCCCCCCCCCCCCCGGCAGGCTCAAGGCTTGACCGTTGGCTACTGGTTATCTTGGTAGTTTATATAAAGTAAACACATACTCGCCGTGTGTGTTGTCTGTGTAGACCTGGACTAATCCCTAACCTCGTTGTTGGTTAAGCAGGTTAGCGGCGTTAAATCTCTTGTATGGTTCTGTCCCAGGTTTTAAGATAGGTAAAGGCTACGACACAGACGAATTTTTTTTCTTCTCTTTTCTTTAGATAGTAGCTTGAATTCGATACCAATTTTTAGCAACGATTAAAAAATGGACTGTTTTTGTTTTGAAACTATTTCCATTGCACGTATCAAGTTTTTTGTTAACACATTGTGAAAGGTTCTGTAATATCAACTGGAGAAACCCGGTTTATGGGCGGGGAAGGGATCAGGTTGTGTTGGGCTTGCTGAAAGCTGTACGATGTCAACATGCAAACATTTGCTGAATATCGTTTGTTTGTTCTTGTGTAGGGGCAATGTTTAAAGTAGATCATAATACATTGGGCCTCATCTCGCTTTAATATGCTTTGTGAATACTCGAATGATGATGTGATGTGTGTGGTTGTACATGATGTGTAGGTATACATCAGACGCACCATTATTACTGATATATTCAGAACTGTTTTTGTTGTTATAGACCTTTATATAAAGCGGGCAGCAGTGACGCTTGTTTAATTCGTACTATGATTATTAGACCCTTGATTGTTTGGATAAGGTTTGAAATGTATTGATATTTAAACGACCTTTCGATGTCTAGCCACTTCTGTTTTTCCTATTACAGAATAGTTTTCTAAGGTCACATTTGATTTCATTAGAGGTGTTGAGTATGTCTGGTTCAATAACACTATCGCGTTTATTTGATTGAAGTAGTCGATATCGTTGGTTACCACGATATTTAACCTGACGTGGTCTAGTGGTCATATTCCCCCCTCCCCTTCATCAAACGGACACCGTATCGTTTCTTCGTCATGTAATATGACACAACTCCCCACCGGTCCACTGGCCATATCTCTCCTCCCCCCCCCCCCCCAGTTCAGTGTTCATATCCGTCCACTGGCCATATCTCTCTCCCCACCGGTCCAGTGACCATATCTCTCGCCCCCCTAGTCCAGTGTTCATATCCGTCCACTGGCCATATCTCTCTCCCCACCGGTCCACTGGCCATATCTCTCCTCCCCCCCCCCCCAGTCCAGTGTTCATATCCGTCCACTGGCCATATCTCTCTCCCCACCGGTCCAGTGACCATATCTCTCCTCCCCCCCCCCCAGTCCAGTGTTCATATCCGTCCACTGGCCATATCTCTCTCCCCACCGGTCCACTGGCCATATCTCTCCTCCCCCCCCCCAGTCCAGTGTTCATATCCGTCCACTGGCCACATCTTCCCCCCCACCCGGGCCAGTGGCCATATCTCCCCACCCACGGTCATCTAACGTGTCGACCCGACCTGCAGGTGTGTTCGATGTTCCACGTGAGAAAGTTCCGCTGCCCTCATTACGGCTACGGTCGGTTACATTTTCTAAAGCACTCGTTGATCCGGTCCAGTGGTTTGAAGGCCCGTACCTGTAGCGCGCTAGCCTAGCTCTGGGGTTTTACTTTTTAGGCACAGTTGACAGCTCATTTGAAGCAGGCG